TTGAAAATAAACAAACAGAAATACTGCCTTCGTCTGAAGGAGAAATGGATTGCGGAGAACAGGACATGGTCGCATTAAGCGTGGATCTGCACAACAGGACCATAGAACTCTGAGACTCTGTAGTCCAGAGTTCCGAAAGAAAGAAAACGCAGCTTTTCTTTAGAATGCCATTTTGTAGTTGGGAGACAAATCCTTTGGAATTCTGGATCTCACCAATATCAACTATGCCTATGCTAGCGAAGGTGGCATTAAGTTGAATGATCACGCCTGGTAGTTCAGTTTCACCTGAACGGTTGGCTTCTGCCATAAAGTGTGTTGTTTGTGACTCCCGTAGTCATATGACAGACCAGCATGTAACCGAACGAGTTTTTCTAAAATCATTAAATACAAATTTGCTTTTCAATTAATAATTAAAAGCATTAAGTACAAATTTATTCCATGAATTAATAATTAATACGTATTATTATATTAAATAAAATTGAACACAATGGGCTTTGCTCTATACCATATCCTTCATAATGTTGTTATTATTTTGTATATCAAAGAACGTAAATAAGAGTTGCTTAAGAGTGGGTATAATATTTGTTTTTTCAAGTTCGATTTTTATTCACTTTTTAAAGCTCTTGCAGTTCATGGTTGAAGAAATCAAATATTAAAACGTTTTTTTTTTGATTATACATATTCTTAGGCCTACAAAACACCCAAGTTTACAGAAACAGGAAACCTTTATTTAAAATTAGCTGAACATTAAATAATATCAAAAATACTCGATATTTTTACGATATTAACTGATTATAACTGATTGATCGGAAGTGCCATTACTTTGGTTTTTGTAAAGTTAGGAAGTTGGAATTTTCTATGGGTTTTATATTTGGCCAATCAATCCGACCTACCAAATTTCATAAGGATCGGCCGACTATATCTTATAGTTGCCATATAACTGATTGATCGGAAATGCCATAACTTTGGTGTTTGTGAAGTTAGGAAGTTGGGATTTTCTATCGGTTTTATATTTGGCCAATCAATCCGACCTACCAAATTTCATAAGGATCGGCCGACTATATCCTATAGCCGCCATATAACTGATTGATCGGAAATGCCATAACTTTGGTGTTTGTAAAGTTAGGAAGTTTGGATTTCCTATGGGTTTTATTTTTGGCCAATCAATCCGACCTACCAAAGTTCATAAGGATCGGCCGACTATATCTTATAGCTGCCATATAACTGAACGATTGGAAATGCTATAACTTTGGTGTTTTTAAAGTTAGTAAGTTGTGATTTTTATGAGTGTTAAGAATGCATCATATGAATAATTTTGGAGAATATAATTTACAGAGTATTCTGCAAGGGTATATCAACATCGGCTCCGCCCGAAGTTAGCTTTCCTTTCTTGTTATTAATATTTTTAGTTGGGGTTTTGTCTTTCCAATTATTTGAAATACATATTCTTGTAGCACCACCATTTCTTTTTGAGGCGACATTTTTAGTAAGCCACATGGAACATATATGTAATATAGTAAGCTGTTTTACATACTTAAGTACATTCACACCATAAGGAGAAATACTCAACATAAATTCTAAAATTAAGTGATCAAAATCCATACCTGCTAAATAAGCATAATTTACAGAATATTCTGCTTTCCTTTCTTGTTTAATTTAAGATTAAAACAAGAAAGGAAAGCTAACTTCGGGCGGAGCCGAAGTTAATATACCCTTGCAGAATACTCTGTAAATTATATTCTCCAAAATTATTATACCCTTGCAGAGGGTATTATAATTTCAGTCAAAAGTTTGCAACGCAGTGAAGGAGACATTTCCGACCCTATAAAGTATATATATTCTTGATCAGCATCACCAGGAGAGTCGATTTAGCCATGTCCGTCTGTCCGTCTGTCCGTCTGTCCGTCCGTCTGTCCGTCCGTCTGTCCGTCTGTCCGTCCGTTTCTACGCAAACTAGTCCCTCAGTTTTAAAGCTATCTGCTTGAAACTTTCCCAAAAGTTGTCTTTCTATTGCAGGTAGTATATAAGTCGGAACGAGCCGGATCGGGCCACTATATCATATAGCTGCCATATAACTGAACGATCGGAAATGCCATATCTTTGGTGTTTTTAAAGTTAGGAAGTTGGGATTTTCTATGGGTTTTATTTTTGGCTAATAAATCCGACCTCCCAAATTTCATAAGGATCGGACGACTATATCCTATAGCTGCCATATAACTGATTGATCGGAAATGCCATAACATTGGTGTTTGTAAAGTTAGGAGGCTGGGATCTTCTATGGATTTTATATTTGGTTAATCAATCCGACCTACCAAATTTCATAAGGATCGGCCGACTATATCTTATAGCTGCCATATAACTGATTGATCGGAAATGCCATAACTTTGGTGTTTGTTAAGTTAGGAAGTTGGGATTTTCTATGGGTTTTATTTTTGCCTAATCAATCCGACATATCAAATTTCATAAGGATCGGCCGACTATATTCTATAGCTGCCATATAACTGAACGATTGGAAATGACATAACTTTGTTGTTTTTAAAGTTAGGAAGTTGGGACTTTTTTTAAGTATTAAGAATGCATCATATGAATAATTTTGGAGAATATAATTTATAGAATATTCTGCAAGGGTATATCAACTTCGGCTCCGCCCGAAGTTAGCTTTCCTTTCTTGTTCATATGATGCATTCTTAATACTCATAAAAAATCCCAACTTCCTATCTTTAAAAACACCAAAGTTATAGCATTTCCAATCGTTCAGTTATATGGCAGCTTTAAGATATAGTCGGCCGATCCTTATGAACTTTGGTAGGTCGGATTGATTGGCCAAATATAAAACCCATAGAAAATTCCAACTTCCTAACTTTACAAACACCAAAGTTATGGCACTTTCGATCAATCATTTATATGGCACCTATAGGATATAGTCGGCAGATCCCGGCCGTTCCGACATATATACTGCGTGCAAAGGAAAGAAGGCTGTGTGCAAAGTTTTAACTCGATAGCTTTAAAACTGAGAGACTAGTTTGCGTAGAAACAGACAGACGGACAGACGGACATGGCTATATCAACTCAGGAGGTGATCCTGATCAAGAATATATATACTTTATAGGGTCGGAGATGTCTCCTTCACTGCGTTGCACACTTTTGACCAAAATTATAATACCCTCTGCAAGGGTATAATAACGTGTCCGGAATAGGCCAAGGGCCAGCAAGGTTACTAGCGGAAATATATACTGATATCAAATGACGACCATCAGGTGTCATAATAGAACTTTCCCAAGCCTCCCTGTCTCAGCTGATAAAATCTTTTCAGGCTTAATTCCAGTCGCGGAAAATGCTACAAAACTAAGTCCCTGGATGTTATGTAGCAGCCAGCCAATCTGTCCGCCTAATAGGCTAAAAGGGAATCACCACCCTTAAATTTCATGGTTGGATTAATAATTAATAAGAACAGGGCGTCTAACAGCACCAATAAAAACAATTTTTCTTCTGGAATAAAATAAATAATATAGAATAAACGATTTAATTTTGAGAACTTTTGCTATTTTCTGCTTTCCACTGCATTTTAAGTTTTACGATATTTACAGCTCTCTGCACTTTTAAGATATAATAATTTTTAACGAAACTCTCGGAGGACCTGTTTATAGATTGAATTATTGCGTATAAAACATAAATTCATAAATACATTTTTGAGTAACAGCATGGCCACATTTAGTACACATGCTATAACTTCTGCACGTTTGGGATAACTATAATTCAAGTCCCAATTTCCATTCCTTAATAACTGTTCTACCAAACAAAATTTATAAATATTTTCGACTGAATGCAACAGCCAATAGCTTATCCTTAAACCTCACCTATTTTACATTTTTTAATTTTACTTCTTATAACTTTTTTTTGACATGACTTCATTTATTATGTAAAATTTTTACATGGGTGGGTTCGAAACTTGGGACTAGAGATGGGGGTGTCAAGCTTTTGCAACACGGCATTATTAATTATTTACACTGCTGCCAAAAACAGACGCGGCTAAAAAGTTGTTGCGACCGATTCATACATGCGTCCGCTGTTGCAAAAGCAGCTGATCGGCGTACGAGAAGCAATCAACCTAAAAAAAAAGGAGAATAAATTTTAAAGCTGAGTTTTCTGCAAAAAAATTAATTACTAGCTATACCCGTTAAAGTAAAAGTGTTATTTTATTGCGTTTCTGACCTCATGAGCTATATTTATTTTTGATCAGGATCAATAGCTGTTTGTCCGTCCGTCCGTATGAACGTCGAGATCTCGGAAACTACAAATGCTAAAGATTTAGCAAGGGATACTGCTCGCTCTCATCTTCTGGTGTTCACTGCAGTTCGGCGGATGGCGCCAATTTCATATTTAATTTGCTTAGCATTAGCAATTGGAATGATTTCGGCAGCCAATTATTTCAAATGAAACTCGTCTCTATTAGAGTTGCCTGGACGCAAGGACTCAAACTAGCCTTTGATGAATGATGCGATGAGCACCTCTCTGGTTCATAATTATGCTGGCTTTCCTAATATATATAAATATTGTTTTTCTGCGCTCCTCGTAGGTCGTCTAATCTTTCGACCCAAAGGTCAATAAAACTATTTTTATTGTTTTATTGCGGAAAGAGAAAAGTGCTAAAAATCATCAACTTTTGCTTGATAAAACCACTGTATATGTTTTTTTTTGTAATATTTAACAATGAAAGTTTTTCATTTATAAAAATTTCCACACTTTGCTTAAAATGTGAAACTGTTCATCACAGAATCTACATCGCAGTATTTCAAGGAAAGTTTGAAAATATGTGTTTACTACACTGCAAACTTGTATTTTTAACCATACCTTTAGGTTGTAAGTTTATTATGCTTGGTATTTTTAAAGGTAAAAATCGGGGTAAAAATTGGTATTTTTAATTGCCGTGAATTTTACTTGACACTTTTGGTTACACCATATGGTTAGTGGTTACACTTACTGTTATTTACAAATGTCGGTTGAAGCTTTTTAAATGTATAATTTATTGAAACAAAGTTAAAGTGATAGCTCATTTGATAAAGCTTTGGTTGACGAACCCCGCATTACGAGTATTAGCCGAAAGCACAGGCGTAGGGCTGGGTATACTATACACAGGATAAAGAGGCGCGAACTCATTGATCCCAAAAGCATGGAGTTCTTCCTCGTTGATATTGCCACGCTGCGTGTGTCGGGATTCCTCATATTTTGGAAGTTCTAGAGATTAGAAAGATGTAAAATGGTTTCATTTAACGTACCAAACATGACGAAATATGAGATAAATATATATTCAAACAATAATGAAAGCAAACTCCAACAAGTCGAAGTTTATATACCCTTGCAGTTATTACAAAACGATTTCTATGCCTATATTACTAAAAACAATAAAGCTATGTCGATTTTGGGCTGCATTTTGCCATCGTTTCTATGAAACCCATATGACGGTGTCCGATTTTGTAAAAATAAAAGCGTAATTCTAATATAGCTCCCATAGACAAATCAAAAATTTAAAAAATAAAAAAAAATTGTATTTTGCAGTTTTTATATTTGTTAAAATATTCCTTTGAGATATAGTAATTATATAGTAATTATATACTATATCTCAAAGGAATATTTTAACAAATAGATATAGTAATTATATACTATATCTCAAAGGAATATTTTAACAAATAGAAAAACAGCAAAATACAATTTTTATTTTTTTTTTATTTTTTAATTTTTTGATTTGTCTATGGGAGCTATAGTAATTATATACTATATATCAAAGGGATATTTTAACAAATAGAAAAACTGAAAAATACAATTTTTTTTTTTACATTTTTTTTTTTTAATTTTTTGATTTGTCTATGGGAGCTATATGAAATAGATGTCCGATTTTAATTTAATTAAAATCGTAATTCCATATTATTTAAACATTACCAAATTAAAAAAGAAAATAAATAAAATTAAAAGCAACAAACTTATACTTTTTAAAAAATTGGCATTTTCGATCAATCAGTTATATGGCGGCTATAGGATATAGTCGCCCGATCCTTATGAAATTTGGTAGGTCAGACTGATTGGCCAAAAATAAAACCAATAGAAAATCACAACTTCCTAACTTTAAAAACACCAAAGTTATGGCATTTCCGATCGTTCAGTTATATGACAGCTATATGATATAGTGGCCCTATACGGCTCGTTCCGACTTATATACTACCTGCAATAGAAAGACAACTTTTGGGAAAGTTTCAAGCAGATAGCTTTAAAACTGAGGGACTAGTTTGCGTAGAAACGGACGGACGGACAGACGGACGGACAGACGGACATGGCTAGATCGACTCTCCTGGTGATGCTGATCAAGAATATATATACTTTATAGGGTCGGAAATGTCTCCTTCACTGCGTTGCAAACTTTTGACTGAAATTATAATACCCTCTGCAAGGGTATAAAAACAAGAAAGGAAAACTAACTTCGGGCTGAGCCGAAGTTGATATACCCTTGCAGAATATTGTGTAAATTATATTCTCCAACATTCTTCATATGATGCATTCTTAATACTCATAAAAAATCCCAACTTCCTAACTTTAAAAACACCAAAATTATGGTATTCCCAATCGTTCAGTTATATGATATAGTCGGCCGATCCTTATGAAATTTAGAAGGTCAGATTGATTGGCCAAAAATATAACCCATAGAAAATCCCAACTTCCGAACTTTACAAACACCAAAGTTATTGCATTTCCGATCAATCAGTTATATGGCGGCTGTTGAGAGCGAAACTAAATTGTTTTTACAGCAGCCCACACCACTCACTCGAAAGCACAGACGGAGAGCATTAAACTATGTATTGAAAATTATCTTTATTTAAATTTCAGCTTCCGAATCGATGTGAATTACAGTTTGCGTTGCGGAGCACGCTTAAAAACTTTGTCTTTTCTCCTTCTCTTATTTCGCTTATGTCATTTTTTGAGATGGTTCTTAACAACGTAAAATGAGATCGATATTCCTTACAGCGATATCTCGATGTTTATATCGAGTGCTTATATATAACAAAAAGAAATCAAAATTAAATTTAAATTATGGCGGCAACATTCCCCCTCCTGTAATTGATCCTAGGGTGGTCAGTTACCATCTTCTAAGCCGACATCTAGAACCGCAATCTTCGTAGCTGGTCGATCGAGAACTCAATGCTGCGTTTTAATAGTGGCTCGACGAACTTGTCCGTCCTTGGCAGGAAAAGTGTTGATCACGCGTCCTTTAAGCCATAGATTTCTAGGCAAGTTTTCATCGATGATAATGACCACGCTTCCAACTGATATTGGGGGACACTTTTCAAACCATTTAGTGCGTCTAGTGAGCACTGGTGTAAACTCTTTCACCCAGCGTTGCCAAAAGCGATCTCCAAAGAGTTTTACCTCGTTCCAATGACGTCTTAGGTTAATCTTCTCTTCCTTGATTGGCTTGTAACCGTTCGATGAACCCATTAGCAGGTGGTTCGGAGTCAACGCAGAGTCGTCCTCGGAGTCCAGGCTGACGAAAGTTAAGGGACGTGAGTTAATGATGAACTGTGCTTCCATTAGAGCACACCTCAGGCTTTCGTCGTTGAATGAGTAATTCGGGCAGATGTTTTTTAGGACTGTTTTTGTAGTCCGCACTAATCTTTCCCAAGCACCGCCCATATGGGGTGCTCCTGGAGGGTTAAATAGCCATTTAATGCCATCAAACTTGATTGCGATTTTATCAAAGTCGATCTTGATCAGCTCCTCTCGCAATGTCTTTTCAGTGGCCTTAAAATTAGTGCCATTATCGGAATAAATTTCTCTTGGTGTCCCACGAAGTGCCATGAAATTAGTGAAACACATCACACAGGAGCTTGTATCGAGGCTGTGAGCGATCTCAAAGTGGACTGCACGCAGGGTTAAGCAGGTAAACAGCGCAACCCATCTCTTCTCTTTGCGTCTTCCAACGTTGACTAGGATAGGCCCAAAATAATCGACGCCGGTGCACGTGAATGGTTTTTCAAAACTTGCCAACCTAGCTTTTGGAACCGCGGCCATTTGTGGAGGCTGTGGCGTGCCGCTACGATTTTTACATAATTGACAGGCTTTTCTTACGGATTTGTATAGTACTCTTAAGCGCAGAATATAAAATTGGGATTTTATATCATTTATCACGGTTTCGTGAGCGAGGTGGTGATATTTTTCGTGATAGAAACGGACTAATAAGAACGTTACTCGACTCTCTGGTGGCAATATTATCGCGTCCATAGTATATCCGATTGCATTCACTCGACCTTTAGTGCGAAGTATTCCGTTGTCGTCCAGATATGCGTTTAAGCCAGTCAATCTGCTTTTTGCGCTTATTGTATTTTTACAATTTAATGAATGGATTTCGTCCGCGAACTCCAGCCTCTGTGCTTCCTTGTATAGAAGGGTCTGTGCTTCTTTGACGTCAAATTCGGTCACTGCTGTCGGCATGTCCGTCCTTTGGCATTTAGCTTGTAGTCGCCGGATATATAGGGACATGTTTGCGACGGCTCTGTACAGGCGCCGCCAATCCGAGAGATATTCCACGTCGAGTAAGACTTTATTCGCACGGGTTATAAAGACATGTCTGCGGAGTTCGGTCGTATCGATCTCCGTTGCCCGTGACGGAACTGTTGGCCAGTTACTGGGTTCCGTTTTCAGAAACTCGGGTCCGTAAAGCCATGTGTCCACGCAAGGATTTTTGATGACCTTCGTTGCCCCGTCTGCGACGTTGAGCTTTGATGGGATCCATCGCCATTGATCCACTCGAGTGGTCTCCAGGACTTCGCCGATTCTGTGCATCACAAATTGTTGAAAGTTGCGAGGGTCCATCACCAGCCATTGTAGAACGGTTCGTGAATCCGACCAGAACGTAAGATCGTCGACTCGAAGATTACGTACGTTGACAATTTTGTTTGCTAAGCGTGAGCCCATCACGGCGGCTTGGAGTTCCATGCGCGGAATAGATAATGGCTTTAGTGGCGCCACTTTGCTTTTCGCGGCCACTAGCAGTACGTCCACCTCGTCTTTTTGTGACACTCGGAGGTAGCAAGCAGCGGAATAAGCATGCTCGCTAGCGTCCACGAACGTGTGCAGGTCGATTCGGGTTTCTGCAGATATCCTTGGGGAGTAGCATCTCGGAATGCTAATTGTTGCCACTTGAGGCAGTAGCAGCTTCCATTGATTCCAGTCCTCCGAAAGTGATTCTGGCAGCTCTTGGTCCCAGCTGATATTTGCACGCCAGATTTTCTGCAGAAGGATTTTTAATCCGATCGTATGACATGACAGCAGGCCCAAAGGGTCGAAGATCGACATGAGAACCTGAAGGACTTCTCTTTTCGTTGGGACTGCAGGATCGGTAAGGACGTCTCGCGGGTCGTCTTTATGTGGGTCCCAGTACATACCCAAAACCTTTTCTGTAGCGCCGAACTGCACTGGCTCCTGTTTTTTAGCGTCTCCATCGTTCTTAAGATACGAGAGAACTGTACTGGAATTTGACGCCCAGTTTCGAATTTCGAATCCGCCTCTGGAGTGGACCTCTCTTACTTGGCTGGATATTTCGATGGCTTTCTGTTCATCACTCACTGTCGATGAAGTCGTCGACATAGTGCGCACGCTGAATCGCATCCAAGGCTAATGGGAATTGCTGCTGGTGGACTAAGGCATTTTTGTCGCGCACGTAGTGGGCTATGAATGGTGCGCAACTAATACCAAACGTCATTGCACACATGACGTAAGTGTTTATCTTACTTTGGTTGGCATCGTACCAAAGAAAGCGCTGGGAATGCATGTCTTCTTGGCGAATGTTGATCCTGTGGAACATTTCGGCGATGTCGCCACTTACGGCGACTTTTCCGACTCTGAAGGCTAGAAGAACGTCGATAAGTGGGTTTAAGCAGTCCGGTCCGCTTAACAGAAGGTCGTTGAGGCATATCCCATTTGTTTTTGCTGCCGCATCCCATACCAGCCTTATTTTTCCTGGCTTATTCGGATTTAGGGCTATAAATATTGGTAAGTACCAGGTGCGAGTTTCTTCTTTCTCCGCCTCCTCGTCAGACAGTTGCTTGGCGTATCCTTTGGTAAGAAGATTTTTGATTTGGTCGTCGATTTTCGTAAACAGGTCCGGTTCCCTCAGAATTCTTGTTCTCATGCATTGTAGGCGCTTTAGAGCGGTAATGCGACTCTCGGGAAGTCTTTGAATATCATTCCGCCAAAGAAGCCCAACTTCGTATTTTCCACACTTGTTTTGGCAAGTCTGATCTAGGATTTCGACTGCTCGTTTGTCCTCGCTTGAAAAGAGTTTTTTAGGCGAGATTGACTCGAGGTTGAAGTGCTCCTTTACTTCATCGTGAAGCTTTTGCCAGTTGCAATCGCAGTGGTGCATAGATACGTGACGATTTGAGTTTGCCGATCCCTGGATGGTCCATCCTAACATGCACTTTGACGCTATTGGATCGTTCCATTTACCTTCGCGGATCCTGCGAGGAACGGCTATTTTCCAATTGTTTGTTCCAATTAATAACATTGGCTGCGCGGAGTAGGTCTCTAATGGCAGGTCTTTTAGATAGCTGTACTTACTGCGCAACTCATCCATATCAACTGTTTGCTTTGGCAGTGCAATGTTTTTGACAGTATGAACGTTGTTGAGCCAGTAACGTGTTTCGGAGCTAACGCCTGAGATTTGGATTGATGCTTGCACGGATGTATTTTCGAACCGGGTTGTTTCTCCAGTCCACTGTAAACAAATCGGTGAAGGTGTACCTTTTATATCGAGCTTGTCAAAAATTGATGAGTCGATTAGGGTAACAGATGATCCTTCATCCAGAAAGGCGAAAATTTCGATTTTTTTGTCAGCGTAATGTAGAGTTACGGGAACGATTCGGAAGAACTGGTTTCCTTCTACGTCGCCATGATGTGTGCTTACATGTCTTTGATTTCCCGCTTCGTTGACTGTATTGGGAACACTTTCCGAGTGGAGTAGAGGGTGATGTTTTCTTGTACAACCATTTACTCCGCACTCCTTTGTTCGACAATTATTTCGGTGAACTTTCAAGCATCGAAAGCAGGCCTTTCCGGCTTTAGCGACTTGCCATCTCTGATCTACCGCGCTGGTTTTAAATTGTTCGCATTGTGTTACCCAATGATTTGTGGACTCGCATGCAATGCACTTTCGATTAGGCTGTTGCTGGACTGTAGATCCCTGGCTCGAACTGGCTGCGCAGCTATTATGGGTATTCACAGAACTTGTCCTGTGAGAAAATGGTGTCACGACAGTCGACGCCGCCTGCGCTATTTTGTAGAGCCAGTCGCTGAAAGCTTTAATGGGAGGGACCGATTCGTCGCGGAGGTGCATCGCCCAGTTTAGTTTGTGGTTACTTGGAAGTTTGTCTACAAGCTCCTTCACTAACATTGGGTTGTTTAAGTGCGCTTGTAGGCTGCAAGCTTCGATCGTGGCGCAAATGTTGCGTACTGCGAGCGCGTACTCTATTATGGATTCCAATTTTTCTTTGGGTGGCGGTAGCTTCCTCACCTTGTCGATCATCCTCTCCAGGATTTGCTCGGGTCTGCCGAAGAACATTTTCAGCGTGCTCATTACTTCCGGAACTAGGCTAGGAAGTAGAAGCTTATCCTTCACCATTTCGCGAGCCCTACCTTTTAGGCACTTTTGTAGACGGAGCATGTTTTCAACATTGGAGAATCCTGCTGCGGAAGTGCTGTGCTCAAATGTACTGATAAACATTGGCCACTCCTCAGGATCCCCGCTGAACGAAGGAAGCTCCTTGGGTATAGCTTGTCTTGCGGCGATTTGGGAACATGACGGTGATGCGGGAGTCGCCTGAAATAGCCCGTCTGTCGATCCGTCTTGCATATTCATTTGTAGTAAAATTTTATACTTCTCCTCAATAAATCTCTGTTCCGAAGCTTTCTTTTCTTCCAACATGTCGAGCATTAGCTTGCTTTTGTTGACGTTAGAATTATCGTCGGGTATAATCTGTCCGCCGCTGGGTTTATCCATTTCGATGAGCGCGTCCAGCTGTGGCTTATTTTGGTTTACGGATAATGAGTTAGAGATGTCGAAATGATTTTGAGGCGGTGATCGCATCATCCTTCCAGGTGGATTTTCGGAGCTACCTCCAGCAAGACACAGGTCACAACTCCAATCCGTATCCTCGACGTCGTAGCCGACACCTGCGCAGTGAAAGTGGTACCAACTATCACAACTGTCGCATTGAACCCAGCTTTCCTCAGTTCCTATCGCTTTTTTCTTGCATATTCTACACACTTCTTTGCTCATCTCCATTAACTTTTTAAGGTTATGTCAACTTAGCGTGTGTCGGAATTGTATTTGTGTGCGTAATTTCTGTGGTTTTTTGGCTCCGTTTACGTATTACGTTTTTCTCACCTTACGTTCGAGAAAGGGATGCGATCGCGATTTCACAATATTATGGCTAATTGGAAATGCGTCGCTTCGTAATTGTACAGTTATAACGGCAACCGGTTGTGCACAAAGTTTTTAAGAATGTTGAGAGCGAAACTAAATTGTTTTTACAGCAGCCCACACCACTCACTCGAAAGCACAGACGGAGAGCATTAAACTATGTATTGAAAATTATCTTTATTTAAATTTCAGCTTCCGAATCGATGTGAATTACAGTTTGCGTTGCGGAGCACGCTTAAAAACTTTGTCTTTTCTCCTTCTCTTATTTCGCTTATGTCATTTTTTGAGATGGTTCTTAACAACGTAAAATGAGATCGATATTCCTTACAGCGATATCTCGATGTTTATATCGAGTGCTTATATATAACAAAAAGAAATCAAAATTAAATTTAAATTATGGCGGCAACAGCGGCTATAGGATATAGTTGGCCGATCCTTTTGAAATTTGATAGGTCGGATTGATTGGTCAAAAATAAAACCCATAGAAAATCCCAATTTCCTAATTTGAAAAACACCGATCCGGCTCGTTCCGACTTATATACTACCTGCAATAGAAAGACAACTTTTGGAAAAGTTTCAGGCAGATAGCTTTAAAACTGAGGGACTAGTTTGCGTAGAAACGGACGGACGGACAGACGGACATGGCTAGATCGACTCTCCTGGTGATGCTGATCAAGAATATATATACTTTATAGGGTCGGAAATGTCTCTTTCACTGCGTTGCAAACTTTTGACTGAAATGTTAGTACCCTCTGCAAAGGTATAAGGCCAGTATAAGCAAGTGAATCTCAGAAAGTTTAAGAGCCAGGATGAATACACAGACTTTTATGAAACCTCACTCAGATCAAAGATGTTTCAAACTTTGGTTTACAAAAAGTGAACATTCTTTTGTGCAATGCGTTTGTGCAATGTTTTGACAGTATAAAGCTGCGTACTTAGTTCTTTACGGAATGATTTGATAAGATTGCCATTAATCATAAAAAGTTCATTGGCACGTAGGAATGGGAATATAAGAAATGATCTCACCTGAAACAGTTGAGTTGGGCGTCAGATCGTTGGGCACACTACCAAGTGCGGTTACCATGGGCAGCTCGTCGGGAGGATCCCTTCTGGATCGGGGTCCTTCGTAGTGGGCACTGCGCCGGGGGGGTTGTTGAACCACTATGCCGGAAACTGCCAGGGGAATAGTTCCAATAGTAACCGGCATGACCATCAGCTGCTGTTCGCGCAAACTCTTCACCAGAGCCTCCACCTCCACTTGGTAGGCGATCTGGATGATGTTGCTCAGCTCCACGCAGGTTGGCGGAGTGGATGGCACGGGAAGCTCGATGGTCAGCGAACGGGTGCACTGCTTGAGCACCGAATCCCCCTTGGCCCGCGAAATTATGATCCGTTCCACTCGAGAGTGCTCCGGACTGACGCTGTAGTATCTGACCAGCATTACGAGTGAAAGCCGGAGCTCGGAGACGGCCACGGAACTGCTGTTGACCACCACCACGGTGACGGGGATCTTCTGGCCGGGCACGTAGCCCGCTTGCGGCAGGTTCAGCTCCAGTTTGAGGGGATCCGTCTTGCAGGGCCCGCAGCAGAATGTGCGGTACCCCTCGGAGTGGGCAGCCGACTACGGTGATACAAAAGCAATGAGTACAAATGTATAAACAAATAAATAGCCGTGTTTTACATCAACACATTGAAAATGTTTGCATTAATAAGGCAGCTTTTTATACCCTTCCAGAGTGTGTATACCCTTCCATACTTCATGAAACTATGCAGGTAGTATATAAGCCGGATCGGCCTTTTATATCATATAGCTCCAATAGGAACAATCGGATAAAAGGGAAATAAAATAATAACTTCGTCTGTACTCCAAAATGCAGTATTTTTTTACGATTTCAAAATTATGGCTTAACTAAAAATCGGACGACTATATATAAACTATAATAAAAACATCAACAATAGTTAAATTTAAGTAGTTTCCATTTACTTAAGGTCCTGGGTAAAAATTGTAATATTATCATTATGGGTTTTATGATACAAAAAAATCAGTATAATAATGATAATGTAATTATAATTACTTCCAAATTTTTTATAAAAAGCTTTAGAAATAAGTATTATTGTTTGATTTAAATTAAACTTAGTATAAAAGAAATTTATTTAATTTATTTGTAAATGTTCCCATGCGGCGTAAAAACGAGATCGCGGCATGAACGGAATACTAATTTCGTGCTACGATAAAATTATCCTTTTAAGATTGGCAAATAATCGGTGGTAAAAATAATATGGTATGGTCTATTAAATTCATAACACGATACTCCAAAAGTATATCTTTCTGATACTTGTCATTTATGTCCATAAATTTATTTTAAGCTTTAAAAAATTTCAAAATGTATTTCAATTTATTATTTATTTATTTTTTAATTTTACAAGCCCTTTAATAACATAAGACTCTAATATTAGAACTCACCCGTAGCTGAGGCGTGTCAAAGTTCAGGTCCAGCATCTTGAGGACAGTAAAGCCCTTTGTATAGGCCTGATCAAACTTCCAAGGTCTAATCAGCAGGACTTTGACTATGTAGCGGATGCAGCCATAGCGACCCTCAAAGGACGAAGGACACTGGTAGGGCAGTTGGCAGGCGAAGTTGTAGCTGTGCACCCCAGCCTGAATGGTGTGTCTGTTGTTGTCTTTCAGAGATACAAATGTTTATGAGTGCAAACACCCCACAACGTTCCATAGGCCTACTTACTTTGCTCGGAACCCAACAGATAAGTGTTGGATGCTAGATAATCCTCACGGCCCGCATAGAGCTTTGACGAGCCCAGACTCTTCTCGCTCCATTTGGTTATAGAGTATCCGACTACCCTGAGCAATACGGCTGTAAAAAAGGGGAGACGGTGGGAAATTGAGAACGAAATTAGTCGAAAAACGAACATTATCTTAAGGCACACTTAAACAACAAATAAAGTTAAGGCGGTTAAAAAAGGATTAATCCACTTCTAGTCCTAACTTAACTATTTATATATTAACTCAGATTAAATTTTCCAATAAAAAACCATATTTAGAACAAAGTTTAAAGTTGAATATTTAATTGAAACTAAAAGTCTTATCGAAAAACTCTTTCTAATCTCGTTATTAAAATAAATAAAGTACTTTCGGCTGTTATCAATCAACTTCATACATTCCGCACCAAAGAATGCCCGCTAAAGTCAATGTCGTCATAAAAATATACAATTCGCACATATACAGATATCGCTATCGAGAAAATATTTATAATGCCCCGGCTTAGTTAAGCTAATTTTAAACAACTTCCCGGAACCTTAGATTTATTTTCAAATTAGGATTTAATATCTTTTGATGAAGTACCTTGAACCTCCTTTGATCTGTCGCATTTGAGGGTTGCGCAGCCGTTGACAAGTTGACCGGCGTAGAAAGTACCGTGGACATTATTATCGAAGCTGATCTCACACGTAACAACCATTTTTCCCAGATTAAAAGTCCGAGCGTGAAAACTACTAATACCACTGGTCTGGGGCACCAAGTTGCGACTAATTTAAGTACAAAACTTCTGGACTGCTTGCGGTCGCAGCCGCGTCGTCAGATAAGCGATAAGAACCCTCAACTTAGAACCGAAGGGGCAATCGTGTTTCCCCGGGAACGATATGGAATCTGAGCCCAAACAGTATAAGAGTCGACCAAAAGTGCCCTTGCAAGTGTTCTGGTTATATTTCTTTGGGGCTTTCATATGTTTCGTCCGTTATCGGAATAGGGAAATAAGACCTTGGCCCTGGCGAAGTTTGTGCCAAGCATTAATGTTTCATGTGCTAGCAATTGCTATGTCTCGTATTACCATTTCAGAAGTTTCGGATTCTCGGAAGGGCACTTTGTAAAGAAAATAATACGGAGAGCATGAAGACTCGTTATCATGGAACTATTTATATATATATTTTTTATATTTTTTGTTAAAAGCCCTATTTTGGCATACCACGAAGAGAAGATTACGGTCTATTCCCTTGCACATCCACAAATTTAATTTTAAGAGATCAATACATTTTCGAAGCCTTGTAAGTGAATTTAAAATTGGTATTTGTATTATCTTGTATATTTATAGTTTCATATTTATCTACATGCTTTATCGTTCTTAATTTTCTTTTGTAGTTTTATCGTTTCGTTTTTGTGTTCATAGCCAAGTGCCCTTGTCCTTGTCGACATCGAGGCCCGGATTGACAAAGGCCCTCTCGGCCATGTAGTTCTGCGTATAATCCGCTGGCGGTGGGGCCGAGGGACTTGGAATGTCGAAGACGGGGTACAGTGGCTGGTAGGCACTGCCGTCCAGACTAAGAGTATTGGGCTGTACTGGCTCCGGTTCATCTGAATTGTCGGGTTTGGTGGCAGCCGTGGACCGCATGTGAATGGCCTCCTGGTAGTTGGGGGGAGCTGAAGGGAAGTAAGGAATTTTGAAAGTATAAATAAAATACTACCGATGACAAACTCACGAATGGAGTCATCGACAGCCCAGGGGCGTGAGGCATTTTGAGGCGGAGCCGAGGCTACACTGGCGCCTGTCAGCCCATTCACATCCAGCGGCTGAATGATCTGGCCACGTGGCTGGATTAGAACTTGCTGGGTCAGAGGAACACTTCCAATGGTCACAGGAATGCTGACCACCTCGTTGTTGTGGCAACCCTTCACCCTGGCCTCGACCTCCACCTGGTAGGCTATCTGGATGATGCCGCACAGGTTGAAGCAGGTGGGCGGGGTGGCCGGCACCCGGATGTCGTAGGTGAAGAGCTTCTTGCAGTTCCTCTGGACGGAGTCCCCCTTCAGAGAGTTGACCACCAACCGTTCGGAGGTGCTGTTGGGCATTGAAGGCGGCCTGCTGTGGTAGGTCACCAGCATCACAAAGGTCATAAGGAGCTGCTCCACCGGCACGTGGCTGTCGTTGGTGATCAGCACACTGAGGGGAATACTCTGGCCCGGCACAAACCCCGTCTGCGGAACGGTCAGTTGGAGGGCCAACGGATCTGAGCGGCAGGGCCAGCAGCAGTAGGTCTTCGAAGTCTCGCTGTGTGCAGGGACCTAACAATAAATGCTCGATTTGGTGAACTCTACGTATTTTAATAACTTAACTGCAATAACTTCTATTCTGATAACTTATAAAATTATTTGTTTTAATGGGGTGGATTCAAAAACATACCCTCAATAGCGGACTGTCGAAGTTGAGGTCCATCACCTTGAGCACTGTAAAGCAACGCGTATAGTTCTGGTCAAATTTATTAGGTCTGACCAGAGTCACCTTGGTCATATAACGCACCCTCCCATTGGTTCCCTCGAAGGACGAAGGGCATTCTGCGGGAATCTGACAGACAAAGTTGTAGGTGTGAATGCCAGCTTCAATGGAGACTTGACCTGCGGAAAGCAAATATAATTAATTAATTAATTCTAGGATAGGACGGCATATACGAACTGCTCAGATTGGATCCCACCAGAAAAGTTTTGGACGCAATATAGTCCTCACGGCCGTGGAATGTGCGACGTCTCCTCCTCCGGTTTGTGGTTACCCTTTCGATCCATCGCGTCTCGGCGTAACCGGTTATATTCAAGGTGATGGCTGCGGAGAAAACGCTCAACTGATAAACACGAATTTGGTAAACAAGGTACATAAACATTTACTCAAAGGGGAACCATGTTTATTCGCACATGGGATATTTTTCCCAATATTCTCAAATAACTCGTGCACCAGTTTTTGTTAAATTTAAAATGTATCTCGCTTTGTCATTATAAAAGTCAATGATTTAATTTAAGACTGGTGAATTTAATTTATTTATTTATTAAATATATTTAATTTTTAGTATTTGTGTGCGTTCCTGGTTGTACATTTTTATTAATGTATAATTAATTCAATAACAATTAAACAAATTTAAGGCTATTCTCTATTTTCTACATGCTAACCATTTTTAACGTTTGTAGTCTTAACATTTATTTTTTCACCTTAAGGCAAATAAGTATCTACCGATATTTTATATCAATTAATGCGAAAACCATTGATTATTTAAAAATAATTTAATCTTATCGGCCGCAAATATTTATCATTGATGCATTTGTGTATGTTCGCCGAACACCTCTTTGTGGACATTAGATTTCGCACGTGTGGCTCCCTCGCCATTAAAAATATTATGAGTCACTGCTCGATCTTTGTGGCAAACCGTTTAACCGCACTTTAAAATTCGTCGATAAGATAAGGATGACTCATGCCGTATCGACAAATTCCCAAAGTATCCCAAAGAACACCCTCACCTTTCACCGACTTCATCTTGTCCAGTTTCAACGTAACCCGGCCAGTCAGAACCTGGCCCCCGAAATAGGTGCCATGGGGATTGTTATCGAAGTCGATTTCACAGGTAACAGCCATAATTGTAATTGTAACCGTAATTGCGCCTTTATTGGCTGATACAGCTCTGATGCCGGTGCAAACACAACTGATTTGATTTTAATGCCAATGTTCAGTATTTACACCCTTACTTCCGAGAACTCCAGAAAGATTGGATTGGACAGCTCCGGGCTGCGATAATAACCACACATGCCCACTTGGCTGCCAGAAACGAACTGAGAATGAAACAAACATTGCGATGGTTTTTCATATTGGTAGCGATGGCCAGGCCAACTTTTATCTTATCGCTGTCACAATTTTTTGATTTAAACATTTCGCAAAGTGCAGCCGCGCAATAAATAACCCTCCACAGAACCGGGAAAAGCCCAAGGATTCCTTGATAAGCAACCGAAGAAAATGGTGACCAATTATTCTCAAATTTGAACTATTTTTCTCGGCCTCACTCATTTTTTTCCCCTTTGTCCAAAATAGCCTTTTCAACCTTTGCCCCAGTTTGGGTTGGTACATTAAAGACCGGATATAGTGGCTTAAAGGACTTCTCTTCTAGATCTTTTGATTCTGGCTGTCCTTGTTTGGGCTTCTCCGTGTCAGGTTGCAAATGAATTGCCTCAGCATAGCTGGGTGGTGCTGTAATTTTCATAATATTTTACTTTTTAAAGCCCATACTATCCCAAAGAAAACTTACATTGGATGGAACCCTCTGACCACGGATACGGAGGATCTGCTGGAGCACAAGCACCCTCATCCTCAAGCAGAGCTAAAGATCGTTGGTCTGCAGCCTGGGGCCCAGAACTATAAGGTGTATAATGCACCATTTGCGGCGCTATCGGAACCCCACAAATTGTCACCGGCATCACCAGAGTTCCGTTGATATGCATGCCCTTGACCTTGGCTACAACTTCGATCTGGTAGCCGACCTTTATGATGCGGCACAGATGGAAGCAGGAGGGCGGAGTGGGAGGAATCAGCAGTTGAAAGTCGTACATTTTCCGGGAATTCCTCATGACCCCGTCGGCCTTCAGCTTGGCCACGGACTTTCGCTCACTGTTTGTGCCTGAGCTCAGGTCGCTGTAGTAGGTGATCATCATGGCCAGGCCGACCTTCACTTCGTGCACCCGGATTTTGCTTTCGTTACCAACCAAAACATTCACGGGGACCGTCTGTCCGGGCACAAAACCAGTCTGCGGCAAGTTCAGCTCAAGGGTCAGCGGATCCGAGCGGAAGGGCCACACCCCAAAGGTCTTCTCAGTCCTGGCCTGCACGGGAACCTAATCAACAATATTTATTTAAAATTAAATTAAATTGTTGTAATGAAAATAAAATAGTCGTAAAGCATTTTTATACCCTTGCAGAGGGTATTATAATTCCAGTCAAAAGTTTGCAACGCAGTGAAGGAGACATTTCCGACCCTATAAAGTATATATATTCTTGATCAGCATCACCAGGAGAGTCGATCTAGCCATGTCCGTCTGTCCGTCTGTCTGTCCGTCCGTCTGTCCGTCCGTCCGTCCGTTGCTAAGCAAACTAGTCCCTCAGTTTTAAAGCTATCTGCTTGAAACTTTCCCAAATGTTGTCTTTCTATTGCAGGTAGTATATAAGTCGGGACGAGCCGGATCGGGCGACTATATAACTGAACGATCGGAAAAGCCATAACGTTGGTGTTTTTAAAGTTAGGAAGTTGGGATTTTCTATGAGTATTAAGAATACATCATATGAATAATTTTGAAGAATATAATTTACAGAATATTCTGCAAGGGTATATCAACTTCGGCTCCGTCCGAAGTTAGCTTTCCTTTCTTGTTACTCTACATATCAAACAATTGATTACTTTTAACCGATAAAATTACACTGGGTTAAAACATTTGAACTTCTTAAGATAATAAAAATATATTTTTCTAATGACCTCAAAAAAATCGCCCATTTATTTAAACTTAATGTTTTGAAAATTCTTTAACATCATTTTCAATTTAGTTTTAAGATTCCTTTCAACGCAGGTAAATAAGGTACTAAAAAGTTGTAGAATTTTGTAAAATAAAAATCTAAATTGTTGCAATTAGTTATATTACAAAATTTTTGAAAATATGAATCCGTTTGCTGTTACTAAGGTTTTTTATCATTTTCTGAAATCGCGCCAGAAAGGAACATTTTCGTAGCCTGCTTTGTATTCAGAACACCTAAAACTATTATTTTCAGAGTGGTTCAAATGATTTAGACACAAAGGAGAGCAATACAAAAATATTAATATTAATAATAATAAACAATATTAGATAAATTATTGTAATTTAAGTGTGACCTTAAATTGTGTTCTAAGAGCCTACCTGAGAAACAGTCGCATATGTGTTTGTGTCCATAACTTGAATTACAGTAAAGGCTCTTGAAAAAAGACTGTCGTACTTCCAGGGCTGTATTATACTGACATCCACCATATAACGTATGCGACCATGCGTTCCCTCGAACGATGAGGGACAGTTGATTGGAATTTGACAAGAAAAAGTATATGCCCTGGTTCCGGGCTCCAAAGCTATTTCTTTAATAATAACAACAAGTTTAGTATGTGAAGAAAATTCAAAAGTTTCATATTAGTCTTACCGGTGCTTATTTCAGAGCCCAACAGATAAGATTTACTGGAAAGGTATTTCTCAAATCCATTGTACGATTCTGAGGTGGACTTGTTGTTCGAATCAGTTTTGCTTTCGGTCCAATGCGTCTCGGCAAATCCTTTAACCTTAAGCCTGATCGCTAAAACGAGAAAAGGGAATAGTTAAAGCTAAGTTTTAAATTATTGTCCACTTAAGCAAAGTCGAATTACCAGCAATATCAACGAATTTACATTGATTCGATTTACACTTTACCTTTAATTTGAATCAACTTGTCCGTACAAAGAGTCACCTGTCCAGAAATCGATTGACCCGCGTAGTAGACTCCTTGCGTATTGTTGTGAAACAAAATTTGGCAAATTATTCCCATGATTTTAATAGCAATGTTAAGCTGTTTCCTCTTTAATGGTCACAAGCAAACTGAACTATAAAGGCATTAATCTATTTCTTTTGTGCTTCGGCGACCCATCGTTTGAATAATCTTATCAGTACATAAATATAATTATTTGTAAAAAAAACCCCCCTAACATTCCTTTACATGAAAGGCCTGATTGATTACAATCGAACGTGTATGCAATCTTATCAGTGATAATAATAAAAACAGCTGATGGCCAATTTCTGGCTAACAAAACCAAAACCCCTAACTTTTACTCGAGAGTTACCGATTTGAAGAGAGCCCTTTCCCTGAACTTGAATTATTATTTCCACTACAGCTCTCAGTTGCACTTGTTTTGGGGATTTACAACATATTTGATAAGATAGCACACAACTCAACCAATTCTGCCTACTGTAAGCGACAATAAAATAAGTTCTCCCATTTTCTTATTGGTTTATTTGAATCATTTAATAATAATGAATATACAATTGTGATCCTTTTTTTACTCTTTTAAAGCCAAGTGCTCTTGTCTACTGTGTCATTAACATAGCCTCCATCAGACTTATTTTTATTAGGACGCACAATTATTTCTTCCAATTGATTCGACAGATCAAAGACACCGTACAAAGGAGTAAACGAAATGTCTTCCTTTTTTTTCTCTTGCGCCCTTTTGCATGATTTTCTCTGAAACTTCTTTTTGGCTTTCAAGAATTTCTGTTGATCCGGTCTGATGTGTTTGGCCTCGGAATAATTCGGCGGGGCTACAAAAAGGAATGATAATGGTTTAGTTTTTCCTAGTTGGAATCAGATAAATTAATAGTACTAAACAATTTTTAAAAAAATGCATATATGTACAATAAATATTACCTATTTTAATTTGTTTTACCCCTTGGAATAGCTTAAAAATAAGTTATAATAAAAGAATAATACTGACATAATTAATATACAATTTCTTGGGCGACTAATCTTAAAATGTGAATTAGATATTCTTCTCTGCTCTGAGATATTTTCTTTTACATATAACAAACTCATTTGAAAACCCCTAAAACTCACCAATAGAAGGATCCGCAGACCACGGACTGGGAGGGCCAAGGGTCTCTTCAGCCGGTTCATTCCCGATTAAAACCAAAGCTTTGGCATCCAGTTGCTGAGGTAGTAGTTCTTCGCCCCAAAATCTTGGTTCTCTCTGCAGTACTTTCGTTAGCGGGACGCTGCCAATAGTTATTGGCATGTGAAGCGACTGACTTCCGTGGCACCCTTTGACCCTGGCCTCCGCTTCCACCTGATAGCCGATCTGAATGATGCTGCACAGGTTGAAGCAGGTTGGCGGTGTGGCCGGCACTTTAAGGTCGAAGGTGAGTTGCTTTCGGCATTTGGTCGACACGCCTTCGCCTGTTTTCAGGGCCATCACAAAACGATCCTTGTTGGTGTCCGCGCACGGGGGTTGACTGTAGAAGATCACCACCATGGCCAGCTTCACGGTTATATTCTCCACAGGCACCCCACTGTCGTTGGAGACCGTTACTTCCACCGGTACAGTCTGTCCTGGCACAAAGCCACCCTGCGGCAGGGAGAGGCGCATACTGAGTGGCGCCGACCGGCAGGGGAAACAGCAGAAAGTGCGCTGTGACTCAACCTGGGTGGGTACCTTAAATAATAAGAAAATATCTTTCCCCATGAATTCCAAGGTACACTTATTCCTGCTACTAATACATAAGACCTTTAAGACCTTTGTAATTTTTAAGCTAACTTTTCACCTGTTGACTTCTTTCGTTGTTTTGTTTTTTAGATGTAGATACTATCTGCATTGATTTTACATACAAGCTGGATTCAATTAGAAGAAGTTCAGGTGCTTTTTTAACTACACTTAACCTTAACTAGACTTCAAGTTAAATAACTCTTAATATTCTTTCATAAACACTCAATTTAACAGTTTACTATTTACAGTTCTGTTGAAGTTTCAGGTTTGATATATTTATAAAGAAGCGTGTTATTCAGCAGAGGACCTAAACAACTTACCCTCAACATCAGACTCGCGGAGTTTAAGTCCATTACTTTGAGTACAGTAAAACATCTATTGAAGTTGTGGTCGAATTTCCACGGACGAACGAACCTCACGTTTACCAGATAACGTATTTTGCCAAGTGTCCCCTCAAAAGAGGACGGACATGTGATGGGCAACTGGCAGGCGAATCTATATGTGCTTGTGCCGGGCTCAATAACCACCTCTGAAATAGAGCTTTGATTTCGTTATCTCTTGATTTATGGTGATTTATCATCTTGGAACCCACCTATGCTGGAACTAGACCCGTACAGATATGACTTAGTCTCCAGGTAGTCCACATGTCCGTTGAATGACTCGCCGTTAGACTGATCCTCCGGATCGTATTCGGTATCAGTCCAATGGGTTTCGGCGTATCCTTTGACTTGGAGGACCACAGCTGAGGGTAAATATATGTTATCAATTTACCATCTATTTTTAGCACTACCATTGCATGCGCTTCAAATCCAATTAAGTCTGTCCGCAAATAAAGTTCCCCTTAAATGGAGATAACCGCTTAAAATGAATCAGCGTCTTACCTTTAACTGGTTTCGGCTTGTCAATGCTGATCACCACCTGTCCAGAAATCAGCTGGCCTGCATAGAAAACCCCCTGGGGGTTATTGCAGAACTCAATATCGCAGATTACCATTGTTCGGATTGATTTTAGTGTTAATCCCGGAGCTGGCTACCTTTTGCCCTGTCTGCGTCGTGTCTCCCAGTGAACTGAAGTCACCCACAGGGTCTGATTTTATTTTATTTTTTTTGCAGCATTTTATTTTATCTTATCAATGCGATAGGTATTTTTGTATTTAAACACCAATTTATACCGTTGCTATCGAAGTATTTACATATGTAAGGGACTAAGAAATTCGTAGGCAGGCAGAAGTGATCGATGAAGGGCAATTTGTACAAGGTTGAGACAACAGTGATATACATTGTTATGCGAGAGCCACTTTGCCATTTAACTTCCGAATTTTCCTGGCAGTTGTTAATACATCTATGGAGTTATTTCACTCAACTCGCCGCGTTGCCAACTAAGCGTTATTTTGCACTCGTTATGGATAGAAAACATTGCAGTGGGTTTTGTAGAGAGTTAAGGCGATAAGATAAGGCCTATTAACAGCAAACATTGGGTAAGAGAGTCTAGGCCCTGTTAGCAATGCAGATAGCTTCAGTTCCCATTCGGCAGTGAGCGCGAGCGGACCGCTCTCGAGAACAATAACCCTAATTAGGGATAACCCCGTTACTAATTCGCCATCATGTCGAAGAACTGCATGATAACGTTCGACCAGAATGAGCACGGCACCTACTTCACCGGCCAAGTGATAACCGGCAAGGTGATCGTCAATCTAAACAAGACCAAGAAACTGCGCGGTAAGTAAGCCAACCAGGATCCCGGAATATCTCGTTGCCTAGTTCAGGTGCTTTCGCTTATCTAGTGTGGCGTATCTTATCGAATCGGATAATGTCAGACTTGGCAAAAGCAAAAGTTTCAACAAACCATTCAAATAGGTAATTTAGTGATAACCATGCGGACCCTCCAAATGTGCGATAATTGATGATTCCTGGAGCTTAGGGACAGAAATAATTATCTTACTTGTGGTAGGGGATATACACAAGTGATTTTAATTCGTTTCGAGGAAATACCGGAGGCGTTAGTCACCGTATTTGTTTGGGCTTGGCAGTGATAGTAGCTTATAGTGTTTCTGCATGGTGATCTTTAAGCTAAATTTTATTTTTTTTTTCGAAAACGTTGTAACAATATTGGCCGTATAAATTGCATTCATGTTTCTTTTTAAAACAGTAGTTATTGTACGAGCATTTTCATTGCAATAATTGCGTTTGGAAATGTTTTATTCATTACACTTCGCAAAAATCACAACCTAACTGTTTCCGGTTTCGGTTGTTATCTTATCTTAATTCTAGGCCTTGATAGGCACCCAGTTTAAAGTAAAAAATATCTTTAATCTCGCTTGCAAAAAGATAAACAAAATGTAAAATTTTCATGAGCTTACCCCCTGTATCTTTTTTTACAATGTTTTAATTTTACTTCTATATTTTTCTATCCTAACTTATATTTACATGTGTTTACTCGACTTATTTGCATAATGTAGAATGCTAAATATAGTACCACTGTCTCTCTTGGTCAGACAGTTCATTCTATCCACGGAAATTTTACATTAAATCAGCATAGTAATATCTCGTTTTTTTAGGAATAAAGCTGCAGATCAGTGGCTACGCTCAGGCACAGTGGAGACTCCGCAGACATGGCCGGGCGGTGGCCATCCAAAATTCCAAGAAGCGATCGAGAAACCAGTACAGCGGTCGGGAGGACTACATATCCTCCACCACTTACCTAATGGGCTCCGAGCAGGGCAGTAACTTCAGCATGGACGCTGGCACGTACACCTACACTTTTGCCTGCCCCATTCCCAGCCACTGCCCCTCGTCCTTTGAAGGTGCCTACGGACACATCCGGTACCTGGCCAAGGTCACCTTCCTCAAGCCGGGCGCCTCCAACCGCACCCACAACGTGGGCTTCACGGTGCTGAAGCTCCTCGACCTCAACCAGGAAAGCAAGATGCTCCGCGAGCCGGCCAGCAACGAGGCCGTGGAATACTTCTGCCTGATGCACACGAAGCCCGTGGAGCTGAAGGTTACTCTGCAGCAACAGGGCTATGTGCCGGGCCAGTTTATGCTGGTCCACGCCCAGGTGCGCAACGGGTCCAGCTCAGATTGCCGGAAGCTGCTGATCATGCTGCACCTGCGGGCCACATACACGGCGGACCAGCCGTCGCTGCGCACCACCTCCGAGAAGATAATGCTGGTGAAGCGCGAGTGCGGCCCGGTGCCTCACAACGGGCAGAGAACCTATACGGAGTCCCTGAGGATTCCGGCCACTGCACCCACCTGCGAACACTTGAGCAAGGTGGTGCGGGTATCCTACGAAGTGCGGGTGGTGGCTGTGATGAACTGGCTGATGGCCAATCCGCGGCTGGTCATCCCCATAACCATTGGCAACGTACCGCTGGCCACTGGGGCCTCGGGCCCGGACTTCCTGCCAACCAACGCCTTTGCCGTCGGAAGCGGAAGCCCGCTGCCCACCCATTTGCCCTGCACCTCCACACGAGCCATGGAACTGGCCCAGATGTCCAGCAGCGGGGTCAACAACTCCGGCTACGAGGTGAGCGAGGATCTTGAAGACTTTGAGCTGCCGGAGGACGGAGACGATGAGTTGGAGGCGACCGACGAGTTCGTGCCAGATTTACGTGAGTTAAACTTACAATTCTATGCCTTATAAATATCTCATTTAAGTCTCTTGTCTCACAAAAGAATTATTTTATTCAAATGCCGAACTTATCGTATGGATAAAGTTGTTAATTGTAATATTAAGCTAAAGGGGTCGGACGATCACATTGCTAGGTACTACACAGATAAAAAAATATCCTGAAAAAATCAAGAATATTTTGATTGAATATAGAACGCGTTTTCTTGAAATTTTTAATCACGTTTCGGGATTAAAAGGTTAAATAAATCCCGATTCGGGATTAAAATGCCACAATAATCTGAAACGTTCTTGATTTAAGCTTAAAAATTCTTAAAAAGTCAATTTTTGCTGAGAGCGAGAGCAATCTCTCTCTCGTTTGATCTCTCTCGTAGTCTTCGGTATTCTTGGGAACTCCAAGTATTTGGAGAGGCATGCGAAAGAAAGAGATAGCAAGTTCAATAGTGCGCAGTTATCTTAAATTTTCGGTAAAATGTACCATGCCATGCTCGGTGCGTACATTTTAGCAATTGAGTCGAGAACGTCGAGAGAGCAACAGTGAAAAGTTTCAACAGTGAACGTGAAAGTGAAAATGTGTAAAACTCCGGATAGGTTGCTAAACCTGCTGAAAGAGTTTCAACTTGAAAAAGTGCACGACTATCTAATCGGTAAGTAGTACTTACTATGTATATAATATATATATATATATGTATATATATATACTATATATTAATCTAAGTTGTGTGCCGGCAGACAGAGAGCAAATGCATAAAATAAATTAATAACTTAACATAAATACATACATACGAAGAACGAAGCTGCAGACGAAAAAAAGTACAGTACTGTATTTCTACATATACGCAAGTGCGTTACCATATGCCACATACATATAAATGTGAGTATGTATACATACAGACATACATACATACATATGTATGCAGAAATTACAGTTATATACAGCTTTTTGTCTTCAGCTTTGCCTTTACATTCGTCTCAGCCTTATGCGATAAATTTGCCTATACAGTTATTACTTTAATTTATTTAGGTTTCAATAAGTTTCTCAAATTGGTTTTTATTTTCAGATTGAAATTGACTTTCAAATGCTCTATCCTGGCAAAGGTCATTTGCTTTTGTCGAAGTGGGAAGAATTCAAAGTCAACATTTTGACTCATTACTCAACCCACCTTCGTAACGACTTTTATAAACAACAACTGGCAGTAGCAAAGTCGTCTACAAATAAAGGTAATTATTATTGTTATTAATAAATATATTTGTTAAAACAAGTTATTTCTACATTACAGATCTCCAAGACTTCCTTGTATCGATATTATTAAAAAAACTGACGATTGCGGATTCCCAGGAGTCTTTCGTACTTCAAATAGAGACCCTGAACAATATACGCCCTAAGATAGACGAACTAGTGAATAAGTTCTATTTAAAAAAAGAATCCTTGCAGCCATTTCTTAGCCTATAACTAAACTAAAAAATAAAACCATTTCAAAATAAAATGTATATACCAAAAATTAACAATTTTAAGACTTTTTGGGATAAAATCAAGAATTTGAGGATTAAACATTTTAAGAATAGTTGGGATTAAATCAAGAATTTTCGAGACTAAACCTTTTAAGAGTAGTCGGGATTAAAAGAAGAATTTTCGGGATTAAATATTTTAAGAGTAGTCGTGATTGTATCAAGAATTTTCGGGACTAAAAATTTTGAGATAGTTGGGATTGAAACAAGAATTTTCCGGATTGAAAAATTTAAGTACGTTCGTACCATAAATAAGAAAATCCGTGATTATCCTGATAATGATACCGTTTCAGATTGTTTTTGCCAACTTTATCCCGTTTTTTTTTATCTGTGTACGTGCATTCGACTTTATAAAACTGTTTAAACAAACCATTTCGTCTAAAGCCTAAATAGTTATTTGTAGGAGTTATTTAAATCACTTCTTTTTGAAGTGTACGGACCTACACTGTACAACTGAGAAAGTTTTGAACATTTTTCATTGCGACTTAGAGCATATGCATATATATTCGTGCATATCTTAATGCATCTGGTGTTTAAAGTCATTTTTTCCTTACTTTCCACAGCTCCCCCGACGTACGAGCAAGCCATGTTCATGACCGCCGATATTGCGGACACGGACGCGAACACCGTCAGCGAGTCCTCCCACTTTACACCCCGCTACCCGGTCTTCGATGTGGACACCTTTCAAAACCCGCCGCCGAATCCTCCGCAAAAGAAGAGGCGCCGCCGCCGCAGACGACCCGCCGATCCTGGACAGTCGAAGCAGCGTCCGGAGAAACAGCCCGTGGAGTCACCCGTGCAAATCTGAGGGACCTTATCGCTTAAAATCACGACTATATCTTATCTCGGCAGTATTTATTTCTTTTTCGGTTCGCCAGTGTACTAACCAACATGCTAATATATATATATATATGTACATATGTATACCTACGCAATGGTAAATAAACAAACAAGAATATAAAAGTGTCTCCTGGGTGATTTGCGATAAACTTTAAAGACATTAACAAAAATTTCTGATATCAATATGTTTACATTTAAAATTTTGAAAAACTGCTCATAACACCAGCGTACCAGTGTTGGCTCTTTAACGAGATCAACTTTAAACACCATTTTCTTTTGCTAATTTGTGAAAGATTCACCAAAAAACCAGTCGTGTTATTATAAAAAATTTCGGAAAAACAAAAAAATACAACTTTAAGTGATCAGACCGTAATTATTGGATTTATAAGCTCAAAAAGTGAAGTGGAACTGCCAGAAAATTCTGCGTTGATTGATTTTTAGGACTTAACATGCTAAGAAACTACTGCTGTTCTTTTCTAATAATATTTTAAGATATACAAAAAAAGGTAAGCGCTAAAAATATAGGAAGGTAAGATCAAAAACAAGAATGAAAGAAAACTGCGGCCAGCCGAAGTTTATATACCCTTGCAGTTATTTCAAAATGACTACCTTCCGATTTCTTATGCCTATATTACTAAAAACAATAAAGTTATGTCGATTTTGCGCTGCATTTTGCCATCGTTTCTATGGCAGCTATATGATATCCCGATTTTGACAAAACTAAAAGCGTAATTCTGATATAGTTAATAATTACTATAACGCAAAGGAATATTTTGATAAATAGATTTTCGATAATTCGATTTTCTTATAGGAGCTTATGATATAGATGTCCGATTTTAATTTAATTAAGACCGAAATTCCATAATATTTAAATATTACCAAAGAACAACAAAAAATTAAAAACAACAGTTATTAAAAAAAAATTTTTGTTCTGATTGTTCCTATGGGAGTTATATGATATAAATGTCCGATTTTAATTTACCTAAAACCGCAATTCCATAATATTTAAATATGTACTACCAAATTCCAAAGAAAAAAATTTTAAAAACAACAAAATTATTATTTTTTGCATTTTCTTCCGATTGTTCCTATGGGAGCTATACTGATCCGGCTGGATCCGACTTATAAACTATCTGCTATAGAAACACAACTTTTGAAAACTTTTTTCAAGCAGATACATAGCTTTAAAACTAAGGGACTAGTTTGCGTAGAAACGGACGGACGGACAGACGGACTAGATTGACTCTCCTGTTGTTGCTGATCCAGAATATATATACTTTATAGGGTCGGAAATGTCTCCTTCACTGCGTTTCAAACTTTTGACTGAAATTATAATACCCTGTGCAAGGGTATAAAAATTTATTTGCATTGCGGATATCTGCCCTTCGCTGCATCTCGTATAATCAACTTGCTCCCAACTTGTAATCGGACTAAATAACTGTTTTTAACAGGAAGAGCAACTTCATAATAAATCAAGTTTAGAAAACGCCATATTCCGAACTGCTGAGAGCACCAGCACTCCATAACTATTTTAGTACTAGTTATGAGATATTTCGCCGAATAACTGGCCTCTCTACGAGGTCCCTTAAGTTTGCTGATTTGTGGGCGTTATTATTATTTGACTATTATTGGACTATCATTCCTTTAAGGTATATAACCTCTCTGAAAAAAAAACCAAAAATGATATATCTGCTGAGGACGAAACGTTAAAATTCAGTTAATATACATTTTCGGTAATCTTGATTGTTTAGAAATAAAAACAGTTGAAAAATGCGATCCACATTTAAACAAAAAGCCAGTATTTGGACTACACTCAGCTTAAAAAAATTGTTTTGGATTAACTTTTCTCAAATGGCTACTTTTTCAAAAATTAGGCGGGATTTCATCCAAGCTGTTGCTACGGCGATATTTTCCGTAATTTATACTAAAAATTTAATTTTTATTCAATTTAAATTTTAAATAAAAATTATTAACATTGTTTTTATAGTAACACCACTAGGTTTATCTTGCAATAAAATCAAAAATTCCGATATAACCAAAGAAAGGGTCTAAATACATTCCTGGTTCAGCCATCTCCATGTGATCCTTTTGCCAGATTAGCCTCCAGAAATATCCGTTATAGATAATTTTAAGTCAATACTACGAAATATCGTTCGAAAGTATAATTTTTTTAAATATGTATAATACCAAAAAGATGCTTTTTATAAGTACACAGAAGAAGAAAAAAGTGGGTTGAATCAAATCAAAATAGTTGTTGAATAAAATAGTGGTTATACTAAATATTTTTATAATTTGTGGGTCGAATTTGTTAAGTGGTTCAAATAAGCTGTGGGCCACTGTACATACAATGCATAAATAGACTTGACCAACTTCAGGAAAATAATGCATTTTGTTTACAAATTTTATATCAACATCAATAAAAGAGAAAATTGGAGTAAAAGGCGAAGGGAGCGCAAGCCACAAAGCTCGCTCGCTCTCTATTGCTCTCAACCAAAAAAAGCTTATGCTCTCGAAAAGTGATGATGTCACAAACAATCGCACACCGGCGATTCTTACATTATATCTCACTTCGGGCGCGTCGCTTGCTTTGCTTGGTGCTGAATAAATTTCTTCTTTGCGTGTCGGACTTCTAATTTTTTAATTTTCTAATTTTGTATCCAAAATTTTAGACGACGTTGTTGCTACTAAAAGGGCTTGACAATGCCATCAAGCTGTATTTTTGAGTTTGATCGCCCTGAACCTATTTACTATAGTGGAGAAACGATCAATGGACGGGCCATTCTCACAACAACAACCGAAAAGTCAGTAAACGGTGAGTATAAATAAACAAAGTGCAGAGGTTCTTCCTTATCTCGGCGGTACTAGGTGTTCGTCTGTTATAATACTAAGCCAGTTTAAAAAACAGCAAAAACAAAACAAGATTAGATTTATTAATATTTAAATGGATATAGCTTTTAATATTGAAATGCTTTCATGAGCTCAGCTTGCCCTATTAAAGCCAAGCAAGCTTCACTTCAACCATTTAAAATGTCCAATATATTCTTTTCCAAAAATGAAAATACCAACAAAAGCCAGAAAGCTTTTAAAAGAAACATGTTTGTATGCATGTACATATGTATGCTTAGAAAATACAGCAGAGATAAGAGAGCAACAAGTATTTGATACAGTTGAATAACTGTCAGGTTAATGGTTTCAGTTTAGTTCAATGCTATTTTAAATTTTGCTAAGCGAATTTTCGAATTTATGTAGCAACAGAAAGCAGATGTCTGAAGTGGAATCTGATAAAGCATATTAGCTGTCACTGTCGACGGCAGCTGACCTAGTGACGAAGTTCACCGTGGCTGTGCGTCTATAGCCGCAGAATTAAAAATGGATACGATGGTTCGATCGAAACGAACGATATACCGATCAAAAGGTACTGCTTTATCCAATACCGGTTAGACAGAATATTCGAGTTTATTCGCTTGGTTAAAGGATTGATTAGAATATGCGCCGAAATGCCTATTATGAATCTAAAACTCCATTTTAGCTCAATATTACTTAGCGCACAAAATTCTTGTTTTTATTTCCAATTTTTCAAAGTAGGTGCCTCTTGGCTATCATTATCGACAATTTATTTCTTTAATTTTCTGTTTCTCCATAAGTTAAATTAAAAAAAAAACGATTACGAAAAACTATTATACCCAAAACATGTATTTTTATTTAATATACTCTATTTATTTTCGTAATACAAAAACATAAACAAAAAAATCAGCTAAAAACTTTCGCAATCGACTTTATTTTTTGCGTAGATTAAATTCAATCCCGCAGAGCGATACAGCTTCTATTATTTTCGTTGTTGTACTTCGATTTTTTGCATAATATTTTAGGCTACACAACTGGAGTAAGAAACAGGAAAATTGAAAAAAAATCTCATAATCCCTCAGATTACAGAGTAGGCAACTTATTTGTTATCGAACAGTGAATCGTTAATTAACTTTTTATGACAATTATTATTTTATTATTATATTTAAATATCAATTTATCCCCCTCTATTCCCAGAGGTGTACATACTTTTCGAGGGAGAGGCGAAGGTGCGATGGGATGAGCAAAAGTCTAGAACCAGTAATGGGAAAACTGAGCACTACACGGAGCATTTTCGGGGCAAACAGACGTACCTCAACACTCGCACCAATGTCTTCGGATCCGGAAATCTACCAGCTGGTACGCACACCTACACCTTTTGTATTCCCTTGCCTCTGGAATGTCCCTCCTCGGTGGTGGTGCAGTACGGCAAGATCTGCTACGAGATATCCGTAATCATCGATCGCCAGTGGCGCTTCAACAACGTCTTTAAGCAGCCACTGACAGTACTGCAGACCTACAACCTAAACATGAGTCCAGAATTGCTAGTGAGTCCAATTCAATATCTTCTCGGAAGCCGAAATAAACCTAAATACCGCAAATATCCACTAAAATAAGTGACTCCACACAAAGGAGAAGTTGTAATAATTTTAAAATTACTGTTAAATGACCACTAGTGGGCGACCAATGTTTTTAAAGTTTTTAAGTACGAATCAGTCCATTTTTTTTTGCTAAATGAAAAATCAAAAGCTGACTGAGATCGAAAATATTTAGAAGTGAAGTGTTATTTAAAAAAAAGGAAATATTTTAACGCATTGATCAAACAAAATCTGCTTATCTTAATATGTATTAAACATATCGATCCACTATCGTACTCCCCAGATGCCCCTGCAGCGAGAGGATGTTAAGCACTTCTGCTGCTGGCCCTGCAGCTCGGGACCGGTTCTTTCTACCCTCACAATACCCTTCGGCGGCTATGCACCCGGGCAGAAGATCCGCTTCACCTTGGAAATCGACAACCAGTCCAGTGGCTATGACTTGGACGGTATTGAAGTAAAACTGAAGCAAATCTACAAGTTCCAGGCCCAAACTCCCCACCACAAGACTCGCGAGCAGGAGCACAGTCTGAACAAAAGCTGTCAGCAGGAACGGGTGCTGCGGCAATCAAAAAAGATTATCGAAGGTGCACTAGCTATTCCGGCGGTGCCGCCCTCTTCCCGCTCTAATGGCATCATATCGGTCAGCTATCAAGTTATTCTGTCAATCGACATGGGCGACTGCCACGTGGACTCGGACTTCAAAGTGCCTATTGTCATCGGTACCATTCCATTGATCCAGAGCGCAGTAAATCCCACGCAGGCGGCAGAGTGGATACCCCAGACACCAGACACTCCGGCCGGAGCTGCTGCCGACCTGCCGCCCAGCTACGACAAGTGCAGTGAGTACTCAGTGAAGACAAATGATGTCAGAAGTATAGACAGTTGGTTATAGTCAAACTGTTGATTTGAGGTTTAAGTTTAAGAAATTAGGGTATTTAACAATCCTAGGTGAAACAAATATGGATATGAGGCTTTGATTGCTGCAAAAATTTGGATCTCAAAAGAAGTTACTAAAATACTTACTTGACTACAAAATAAACAAGGGAGAACGCTATAGTCGGGTGCCCCGACTATCAGATACCCGTTACTCAGGTAAAGGGAGTACGAGGGAGATGGAGATAGAAACTTTGATCACGCATAACTTTTTAACGAATGGTCCGATTTGAAAAATTTCTTCTACATTTCGATAGGTATTGATAAACACAATAAAACTGCATTTTTACTTTTCCGAAATATTTAAATTTTTAAAATCTTATATAAGCGATTGTGGGCGTTAAAGGGGGCATGGCACCTTTTTGAAAAAAACTTGCGCTGCGCAGGAACTCCTAGAATCTGCATGCAAAATGCCAATCTTCTAGCTTTTATAGTTTCCGAGATCTCAGCGTTCATACGGACGGACAGACAGACGGACAGACGGACATGGCTAGATCGACTCGGCTAGTGATCCTGAACAAGAATATATATACTTTATAGGGTCGGAAACGCTTCCTTCTACCTGTTACATACTTTTGCACGAATACAATATACCCTTTTACTCTACGAGTAACGGGTATAAAAAGTCTGTGTTCGAGGCAAATTTCAAATTTTTATTGTTTTAAAAGTTGAAGAAATAATGTAATTTTTGTTTTTATGTGTTTTTATGTTTCATAGTCATTATTTTGGGAACAACGAGGTTTGAAATTTGGTGCACCCGTTTTGCACTCAAAATTTTTGAAATTTACACCATTCAAACAAAATTACAAGTCTGAGCCGACACATAATCTCGAGTTGGCTAAACTTCTCAATAATTTTCAAACAATCTGCAAAGCAATCAAAACTTTGTCTTATCAAAACGAGCTTCCGTTCTAGTTTTATACCCTTGCAGAGGGTATTATAATTTCTGTCAAAAGCTTGCAACGCAGTGAAGCGGACATCTCTGACCAAATATGATGAATATATTTATTATTCCGTCTGTCCGATTCGATGGAATTTGTTATTTCAGATCAAAATTACGAATATCAAATTACGTTTACTTTTGTAAAAATTTGAACGATCAAAAAATATATCAGAAAATCGACATGGCTTCGTTGTTTTTAAACATAAATATAGAAATATAGAATATTTAATTTTAACAGGTGCAAGTATTTAATATTCGGCTTGACAAAGTTTTGCTTGCGATCAAACCTTTAACGTAAAATATTTCTAATATACAATTTCGGGACGAACAAATATATTTTTAAAATTGTTTTAAGCTAAACCTCTTTATTTTGTAATATCTCAAAATTGAATCGACTTTTAACAGTTTTATTTTTCAAACTAATGAACGTAACTTTATCAATTAAACATTTAATATTTAAAATATTTTCTATTTTTTTTATTCACAACATTTATTTTTTTAATTATCCCACAGAACCACCGACGTTCGAGGAGGCCACAAATTTTGGAGAAAAGTTTATTGATATCGACGTGGACGAGCACAACCGCACGGATGACTTTATACCCCGTTACCCGATGTACACAAACTTTGCCTCTCCATCGGCCCCACCACTTACGACGGACGAGCCGGATTCCCCTCTTCTACAAGGGGCTCCTGTTCTGTCGCACCCGCATAATGCCACTGCCCCAGTAATCGGGGGAAACTCCAACGATCGCCCCTCAGCATCCTACGGTTGGAGCTCGAACCCATAAAAACGTTTATGCATCTCATACGTAAGATAATTGAAGAAACTTTATTTGTCTTGACAAAACAATATATTTTACTCGTTCACTTAGCTTAGCTTTTTTGCGCACATAAAGATGAACCTTTCTACCTCTTGTAATATTAATTATCAAAATGCTGATACATTCAAAATCTATATCATTTTATAACTTTTTTCCTGATGTGGCCAAAAATTTAGTTGTTTTTAAGACTTAAACCACAAATAGAACTAGATATTCGTACAATATTTGTTTTTCAAAATTTTTATAATGAAGTTTAAAGCACTAAGGTACTTAATTACTTCTTACAAACATCATCCATCTAACTACGCTTAAAAAATTTGTTTGGTATTAATAAGAGCTTTTTGTTTTTATATCCAGAATCTCCATATTTATACTAATTTGTTAAAGGAAGCCATAAATCTACATTAAGTAAGCAAACACAGTGCTTTGGTAATGAAATATACAAAATTTGTGTGTGCTTATATAAAAAATTAATAAAATAAGTTTAAACGTTGTTAAAAAATCCACCCAGAAGAAAAGTACAGTATAATCAACAATTTTTATAATACCATTATATGCTTTATTTAATTATACACGTATTTAAAGTAAACATTATTTAAATGGTATTGTAATATGAAAAGAGTAAAAAGAAGAAGCAGTTGAATTGATGCGAGCCATGGAAATTAAAAAAATAAAGCGGACAAAGCATTAAAATTTAATATTTTCATTATTAACCTTTTAATTAAAAACTATACTTGTATAACTGTTTTATGTTACATTTCAGGTTAACATGAAAACGTTTAAATTTATTGTTTTTAAATCGAATTATAGAGTGCTTTGTTGCAATCAATGGGACTTGACTTCCTCCGATTGAGTCTGTTCCATTTCGTAGTAGACATAGCGTGGCCTAAAGTCCAACTGCTCTCCGGACAAGTAGTGTTTGTTGGTTTTGTTTAGATTGGTAGCGACCATGAACTCGGCTTCGCGAAAATTAGAAGCTAAAGCGATAAAAAACCGTAATTAGTTTGGGTTAATAAAATCTAAAGAGAAACTTACCCAAAGAGGTCATTGAAACGCTGAAATTGGGGGCCAACTTGTTGGCAGTTTCGGCAGGGGGCGTGGGTTCCGGAGCAGTGGCATCGAGCGGCTCTTGCATCAGAAGTCTGCCAGGACAAGGCGGCGTCACATTGCCTATGATCACTGGAATCCGGGACGCAATGAAGCGTTTCTCCTGCTGAGTCGTCACCAGCACCTCCACCTCGTAATTAAGCTGTATGCAAGCACATCCTGCCAGACTCAAAGTAGCCGCAGTTTGGGGCACTTGAAGCATGTGAAGGTGTTGGAAACTCTGCAGCTCACCACGAGGCAGGCTATGGAGCTCGTGGCTACTGCTCAGGATCGTTTGTCGTTCTACTTTGCTCTCCAAGCGCTTGGGCTTGTTCCTCAAATGTGCCACATAAGTGCTGATCTGAACGAGGGAGTACCTTACTTCTCGGAGTGGCAGTTTCTCCGGATTGTGCAGCTTCACGTGAACGGAAATGCCCGCTCCTGGCGAATAGCCCTGCCTGGGAATCTGGAGCTGCAAGTGTAGTGGTTTCATCCAGAATTTCAGTCGAGGGGTCTGCTCGTGGATCTGCACTTCGCTGCTTCGTGTCTCCTGGCTGAGATTGTTCTCGGGGAAAATCTGCAGCTGCCGCACGTGAAGAGCCTCCAGCGGTCGATCTGCACTACTGTGGACTAGCACTTGGAGTGTGTACCGGATGTGACCGTGGGCTCCCTCGTAATTACCGGGACAGTTCTTGGGCAGTTTTAGATGAAAACCGTAATTGTACGAGCCCGCTTCCATTATCTGGGGCTGTGAGGCCTCCGAGCCCACAAAATAATCGATTTTGGCAAAATAATCCACGCGATAATCAAAGTCCAAATACTGATTCTGCACTTGCTCCTCTTTGTTCTTAGATTTTTTCTGCTTTTGGGGCTGCTGCCAGGCGGTACTCGCATAGCCATTGGCCTCCAAACATATTGCTAAAATAATATGGTTGTAAAGTAAAGGTTTATGGGCACAATCAAGTAAAATCTGTGTTCTATTTTGGAAAATTTGGAAAATAAAATAAGCCAACAATATTTAACATATCAATAAAATATGCGTAAATAAACTAAAAGGTAATTTTTAATAGCATATGAATAAAATTACTTAGGTGATGTCCGCAAGATGAAACTTATTTAATTTTTTTTGTTCATGCTCATACCTACATATTAACATTTTTAAATTTGCTAAAGAACTAAAATTCAGTGCAGGCTAATGGATCGCGTATATGTACATATTGTCTGTTTTAGATATCTATGTTGGTATCGTTTGAAGGCTGGAAAAAAGTTTCTAATAATTCCTATATTAATTAACTTAAATTTTTTTTTGGCTTTATTTTTTAAATTTTGTATTTCTGAATGCACAACATTTGAATAATATTGGGTTAAAATTTTAGATCGATCCGAGTAAAACTTCTGCAGTTATGGGCAGTATAAAGTAGGTAAGTTTGCTCGTTTTTTATTGGATTTTTTTGGGTGTCCAAAACTTAAAAAGTTGCCATTTCAAAGTCGGTGAACACGATCCTGCAAAATCTACTGGACGCATCGTTTTGAAATTTTGCACACAATTTCTGTACCTAAATCCATAGGTACTGCCATTGACTTTTTATTTTTCTGATTATTTTTCATTTTATAATAACTACTATATCGAATTTCTAGGCTAAATCACGGTTTTGACTTTAAAGTGTTACCAAAAATCGAAAAAATTTAATAAAAAAAAACTCAACGTAGTTACCTTTAGAAACGTCTTAACTAACAAACAACTTTTTTCTGTTTTTTGTGATGATCCAGTAACGAGTTATGCTGTTCACCGCAAAACCTTTTTTCTTGGAGGCGCCTATGGAGCTTGGCTGCGAACGGCTCATTTATTTTTCTTTTCGATGAAAATTTGTGAAAACATAGCATTTATGTTGTACTTTGATAAATTTTGTGAAATTCATGAATTCATGAAAATAGGCCTTTTTTTTGGCCGAAGAAGGGACGCGGCCAAGAGTTCGTGCCACTTGCAAATCTATAGGCGCGGCGCACCACAAAAATGTGGAGCCATCTGTATTTTTCTGCTAGCACTGACCTCATTTTCAATGTTAAATTAAATTCTTAATAGCTTCTGTAAAAATAAAATATATAAATACAGACTGAATAATCTTATGCCGCTTAAAAACTGTCCTAGTGTCCGACGTTCATACAGACAGGCAGACGGATTTTACTAGATCAACTCGGCCAGTAATCCTGATTTTATATTTATCTTTTTATGGCGATTTTCTTGAATTCATTTAGATTTATTCTCATGATAATAAGTGATTGATAAGCCATACCGGTAGGTATTAGCAATTAGATTTCACTGCGACAATCACTATCAGGCACTTATTTGCCAAACCATAAATGAAACTAAATCTTGATCGGTGAGTCACCAACACACGATGGGTCTGATATGCGGGGTTGCCCCATGAGTCACGCCCTTACTTACCTTTGATTAAAGCCCGCTCCGAAAGGGTCAAGTATACGTGACCATTGACCGTCTCACCGGCCCGATAGGCCCCCCGGGGATTGTCCAACTGGATGTCACAGCGGTGGCTCATTTTCAGCACTCTCCTCTATGTTGACGGCTCGACTTCTAACCGATGTCTGGCAGTTGTTGACAATATGCTAGCCCATTAAGAATGGAACTCAACGTGGCCTTATCGGCTATACTAGGTGTGAATGGCAGTGGTACCATGGCTATTATCGCCAAAGCCGTTATCTAATCTGGCCTAGGACCCTGCTGGGCGACAACCGTTATCGGGTATCAATCAATTTGTAATTTAATTAAGGTGCATTACACCGGCTGGGAGGTGTAGCCTACATATGAGCGGTAAGTCCGAGCGGATGGCGGTTTCAGGGACCCCCAATACCATTGGTGAAGATCTGGGTATTTCAAATAATATTTCAAATGTGTATTTCAAAAACATAACAACTCTGGAATTCTGAAATAAATAATTTTCTCTTAAAAAAATAAGGAAATAATCCTAATAATACAGTATTAAATCAGTAACAAAAAAGATTTACGATTTTGAAAATTCAATTCATCCAGCGATTTTAATAAAAATGTAACTTAATATTTGATAACCTTGAACTATATTAAATCTTCAAATAACTTGATATATCCCACCACTACCCAATACCGAATGCAATTATCAAATTGATTGAATTGTATACTGCATATATTTATTGTCCACTTAAGAACTTTTTAATTAATTCTTAGGATAAGTAGTACAAATATCAAGTCGAATATTTAAACCGTAAATATGTGATGGATGTAAAAAAGCGGTATGTTAGAAAAAAGTAATTTTGGCACTCAATAAGTTCGATTGGACTTTACACGATTGTACAAATCCGGGCAATGAAAGCTCTCTAAAACTAAACGACGGACTCGAGTCCGGCCTAAAAATCTTGTATAAGCCTTAGTCTTGAACACTTAAGTTACTTGTTACTTGGGATGGTAATACGTTTATAAGACACTTCTCCATTAGAACAGGTGTTCGTCCTGCAGCTCCTCCTCGACCTCCGCTATTCGGGCCCGATGCACCTGAACAGTCACATCCAGAACCTCCGTGCTCTCCTCAGCCTCTTGCTCCTGCTCCTGCTCCTCCACTTGCTCGGACAGTGGACCGCAGAGGGATCCGAAAGTGTCCAGACTTCGGCCCGTGTGGTCCGTGTTCAGAGAGCCGTACGACCGATACATGTGCATGTCCAAACCGGAGTCCTCCATTCCGTGCGCTGGAGCTGTCCCAATAAGCGTGCTAAAGCCGGGAAACTTCGGTAACTGAATTCGTTGCAGGGCCACAACGTGACTGCTGCCCAATGTTTGCTGACTGCCTGCCAAGGTAGCAAAGCTGAAGGAGGGCGGAACTGCAAGTAGAAACGAAAACAATATTACAAAAGCTTCAAAAAATCAGAGCCATTTTATATTCAGCTCTCCGTTCCCATATTTAAAAAATGTATAATAGTTAAAAAATTTCGTGACGATTGCAATTCGAACATACTAAATTTCTGATATCCCTTTTTGTGACGAAAAATGATAAAGCATTACTAATGAACACACATTTTAAAATTTTCTTATTCGTGTACTGCAAATTTAGAAAATTGGATCAAGGGTGTCCATTTCAAAGAGGATAACGAACGAAAAAAAAAGTACTTAAGTACTTAACTCTTAAATTCGGTCAGGGGAAGCTTATTAATGCTCGTTGTAGCTATGTCCAAGACTCTGATAATTATATGTAACAGCTAGAAGGAAGCGTTTCCGACCCTATAAAGTATATATATTCTTGATCAGGGTCACTAGCCGAGTCGATATAGCCATGTCCGTCTGTCCGTCTGTCTGTCCGTCTGTCTGTCTGTCCGTATGAACGCTGAGATCTCGGAAACTATAAAAGCTAGAAGATTGGCATTTTGCATGCAGATTCTAGGAGTTCCTACGCAGCGCAAGTTTGTTTCAAAATGGTGCCACGCCCCCTTTAACGCCCACAATCGCTTATATACGATTTTAAAAATTTAAATATTTCGGAAAAGTAAAAATGCAGTTTTATTGTGTATCAATACCTATCGAAATGTAGAAGAAATTTTTCAAATCGGACCATTCGTTAAAAAGTTATGCGTGATCAAAGTTTCTATCTCCATCTCCCTCGCACTCCCTTTACCTGAGTAACGGGTATCTGATAGTCGGGGCACCCGACTATAGCGTTCTCTCTTGTTTTTTTAGAAAGCATCCAACCTCCGCCTCGCCGCGTCATGCCTTTTTATACCCTTGCAGAGGGTATTATAATTTTGGTCAGAAGTTTGTATCGCAGTGAAGGAGACGTTTCCGACCCTATAAAGTATATATATTCTTGATCAGGATCAATAGGGGAGTCGATATAGCCATGTCCGTCTGTCCATCTGTCCGTCTGTCCGTCTGTTTCAATACCGTTTGCGAGCTCAGTTTAAAAGCTAGCGATCTGAAACTTTCACAGTCGTCCTAAAACATGTGTACGCAGATCAAGTTTGAAAATCGATCGGACGTCTATATCCTATAGCTCCCATAGGAACAATCGGATATAACTTTCAAGAATGGAAGATATTTCGCGCAGTGTAAAAGCTATTAACATAAATCTTTCCAAATCTTATTTTTTTGTGCATACCTTGATCAGGGTAAAAGCGCTTGGCGATCGGACGTCTATATCCTATAGCTCCCATAGGAACAATACGGTGAAATCGGTTAAAATTTAATGATTTTTAGGATATTTCGCACAGTATATAAGCAATTGACATGAATCTTTCCAAATCGTATTTTTTTATGCATACCTTGATTAGGGTAAAAGCACGTGACGATCGGACGTCTATATCCTACAGCTCCCATAGGAACAACAGGGTGAAATCGGTCCAAATTTGTTGCTTTTCTGAATTTTTCGCGTAGTGTGTAAGCTACTGACATAAATTTTTCCAAGTCTTATTTATTTACGCATATCTTGATTAGGGTAAAAGCGCTAAAGATTTTGAATTCAATCTTTGCACATCATAAGGATCGTCCGACTATATCCTATAGCTGCCATATAACTGAACGATCGAAAATGCTATAACTTTGGTGTTTTTATACCCGTTACCCGTAGAGTAAAAGTGTATATTGTATTCGTGCAAAAGTATGTAACAGCTAGAAATAAGCGTTTCCGACCCTATAAAGTATATAAATTCTTGATCAGGGTCACTAGCCGAGTCGATCTAGCCATGTCCGTCTGTCCGTCTGTCTGTCCGTATGAACGATGAGATCTCGGAAACTATAAAAGCTAGAAGATTGGCATTTTGCATGTAGATTTTAGGAGTTCCTACGCAGCGCAAGTTTGTTTCAAAAAGGTGCCACGACCCCTTTAACGCCCACAATCGCTTATATACGATTTTAAAAATTTAAATATTTCGGAAAAGTAAAAATGCAGTTTTATTGTGTTTATCAATACCTATCGAAATGTAGGTCAAATCGGACCATTCGTTAAAAAGTTATCCGTGATCAAAGTTTCTATCTCCATCTCCCTCGCACTCCCTTTACCTGAGTAACAGGTATCTGATAGTCGGGGCACCCGACTATAGCGTTCTCTCTTGTTAAAGTTAGGAGTATTAAAAATGCATCATATGAATAATTTTGGAGAATATATTTTACACAGTATTCTGCAAGGATATATCAACTTCGGCTCCGCCCGAAGTTAGCTTTCCTTTCTTGTTAATTATAGTTCCATTTTGAATATAAAGTAGAGCAAAAAGATTTTTGTGCCCCGTAACCTTTTTTTTGTGATGTCTTTATATTTAAATGTCAACAGATGATATTTTATGGTAAGTGAAATTCACAAAGAATAATTAAGTTCATAAGACTATATGAATTTTATAGAACTGACATGTACAGCTGTTTGAAAACAATAATGCAATATTAAAAGTCAAGTTCAGTTTAAAACAAAAAGAAACGCTTAAGTCGAGTGCTTTGACTTTCAGATACCCTTTACTCCTGTTACAAATTTTAAAAGTAAATAGCCTTCATGTACATGTTACAAACATTTTATATATTCGAGAGTGTATATTTATATGCTGATCTTAATTGTTGAAATAATTGTATAATTTTAAAAATTTTTAATCTGATCGATTTGGGCACAAAACAAGAAAAAAAAGCTAACTTCTGGCGGAGCCAAAGTTGATATACCCTTGCAGAATATCCTGTAAATGATATTGGTTGGCCAAAAATAAAACCAATAAAAAATTCCAACTTCCTAACTTTAAAAACACCAAAGTTATGGCATTTCCAATCGTTCAGTTATATGGAAGCTATTGGATATAGTCGGCCGATCCTTATGAAATTTGGTAGGTCGGATTGATTGGCCAAAAATATAACCTATAGAAAATCCCACTTCCGAACTTTACAAACACCAAAGTTATTGCATTTCCGATCAATCAGTTATTATATATGGCGGCTATAGGATATAGTTGGCGATCCTTATGAAATTTGGTAGGTCGGATTGATTGGTCAAAAATAAAACCCATCGAAAATCCCAACTTCCTAATTTGAAAAACACCAAAGTTATGGCATTTCCGATCGTTCAGTTATATGGCAGCTACATGATATAGTCGCCCGATCCGGCTCGTACCGTCTTATATACTACCTGCAATAGAAAGACATCTTTCGGGAAAGTTTCAAGCAGATAGCTTTAAAACTAAGGGACTAGTTTGCGTAGAAACGGACGGATGGACAGACGGACATGGCTAGATTGACTCTCCTGGTGATGCTGATCAAGAATATATATACTTTATAGGGTCGGAAATGTCTCCTTTACTGAGTTGCAAACATTTGACTGTAATTATAATACCCTCTGCAAGGGTATAAATATGCCTCAAGCTGATAAGCATTTCCTACATTTTTGAAACACGCCATCTACCGAACTGCAGTGCAAGCACCTTAAGCTAAGACCAAGCAGCACCCCGCCCCCAGGTAACTGTTTTCTCGCTCTCTTCCACTTTCTCAAATACACGTTTTCAAATATGCAGTGATGTCATATTTAACAATTAATATGGCATATAACTTCTAAAGTAACAAGGTATTTGAGTCGTGCATATTGACCGTATAATTATTTAATATTCCGCCCAAAACGCGGTCCCTAAATTTATTTGCGATTTTTGGGCTAAATCCCAAATATGTATCTTGTAGTTTCCGAAATCTTTAAGTTCATACCTACGGACAGACAGACAGACTTACAGTCATGGCTAAATCGACTTGGCTATTGATCCTGATCAAGTATATATATATAAACGCATCCTTTTACCTGTTACCGTCTTTCCAACGAATAAAATATACCCTTTTACTCTACGACTAACGGGTATAACTATGCCCCTAACAGATTTCTTAATAACTTTTAAAATAATTTCTTGATTAGGAAAAGTGTGTGTTTTTGTTGATTCAACTACAATTTTACCTGTGCGCACGTTATTCTTGTTCCCCTTGTCCATAGCCTTCCTATAATGCTGGATTCCGCCTCTGAATTATTTCAGAAGTTGCCACACAGTTATGGTCATTTATTTACTTATTAATATTATTTTGTGAAGTCTTTATCCCGCTTTCACCAGTTCACTTAACTTGTATTTTTAAGCGTTGTCTCTGATTTTGTGTAGGGGTCGGAAGCTTTTCTTCCACCGGTTTTACACTTCTTAATGAATTTACTCCACGAGTAAAGGGTACTGTTATGACTGTAATTTTATATTAAAAGCCAAGTATTTATGAAACTATTCCGTTTACCCTGTATCCGTTTCGGGTCTGATATGCAGCGGCTAGACTTCCCGTTTATAGTTCAATTCATTTCAAGGAGGTAAATAAAACTCACGGCAGCTGTCGTAAGAGGGCGGCTCATCGTCCTCGATCGCCTGGTGCGGTTCCTCGGTGGCCGCATCCGCTTCCCCGCCTAATTCCTCCTCCACCGTCGGCGGTCGGGGGGTCACCCGCTCGATCAGTCGCTGTCTCTCCGGCGTGGGCGTCCTCCTCACCGGCTGCTGGGTGTGAACCGAGTCCCTGAGGTGCTGCAAAGAGGTGGTGCCCACGATAATGGGCACCGACAGGTCCGTGTCGTAGTGGAAGTAGCCCGTCTTGAGCTTCACCTGCAGCGTGTAGTGCAGGAAGACGATGTAGTTGGGATTGAGGGTGGATCGCGGGGTGTCCATGGGCACACAGATGCTGGACTCGTACTGGCGCTTGGACAGGCGCAGCGTGCGGTCCGAGATCAGTTCCTTGACCAGCGTCTTAGTGTAGAAGTTTCGCTTGACGGGCTTCCGCGACAGAAAGACGAAGTGCTGCTTTATGGACACCTCCACGCCGATGATGTCGTAGTGCGGCGATTGGTTGTCCACCTCCAATCGAAAGGGCACTTCCTGCAGGGGCGTGAATCCGGAGGCGGGCAAAACCAGGGTAGAGCAGATGGGACCCGAGATGCAGGGCCAATGGCAAAGGTATTTGAGGTTTTCATCCTTCACGGGCAGCTGGTGTAGGGGAAGGTATTAATAATTAGAGTACTTGGAAATGGGAAGGTTTGTTAACACCAACATGATTTAAATAATGATTAGAACGGTAAGCGTTTTCGAAGTTTAAATAATGATTAGAACGGCAAGCGTTTTCGAAGTTTTGGCTTAGAATGCAGGGTCCTGCAATGTTTTTGTAACTGCCCTCTTAATAAGACCGATTTTTGTTAGCACTTGTCAATGAAGGGTTGTGAAAGCAAAAGTTGTTTCCTCTTTTTAATACAGCCTTTAAGTTGCACAAATTTGCACAAAAGCACTAAAAATGTACTTGTCATTGGACCACCCAAAAACTTACTGCAAACTCCGTATTGTAGTTAAGGTCCAGCGTCTGCACCACATTGATGGGCTTCCGGAAGACCTCGTCGAAGCCCCAGGGCTTGTCGATGGTCAGCGAGATGGTGTAGGCTATGTAGCCGTAGGGACCCTTGCAGGTGCTGGGGCAGTCTGGAGGAATCCTCAGGGTGAGTACATATACGTGGACGCCAGCCCGGAAGAGGGTGTTATCGAATACATTGGTGCGGGAGTGTAAATATTGCTGATGACCGGAGTAATTAGCCGTCTCGCTCTTGCCGCTCATCGACCACTGGACCTTGGCCTCGCCCTCCAGCGTCACATATACGGCTGGGGATGGCAGAACATGTAGTACCCCCGCTGGAAAAGGGTTTCAGGAGCATTTTCAACCCACCATTGACCCGCTTCACCTTGTCCGTGCGTAACAAAATGCGACCGCTGATGTATTCGCCACTGTTGTAGACCGGATTCAGGCGATCCAGCTGAAAGACACAGGTGGTGGGCATGGCTGCGACACTTCCCTCCGACTTGTGTTCCTAATCTTCACTGTTACTCCATCACTGCTGCACTCAGGCCTGGAAACGGAGCAGCGAGCAACCCAACTTCCACACAGCCAGACGCGCACTGAGTTCTGAGCCGCGAGTTCTTTGTCAGCATCCGACGCCATCGGGCTTTCGCTTTTCGGGGAGCGGAGGCGGCGTTCGAATCAATAAGCTGGCGCCTTGCGTCTGTGTAGCTGTCTACTGTCTGCTTCTGGTCTAATATTTCAGCGCGAAACGTTCGGAAATGGAGCAGCTTTTGGCCGTGGGTCCTTTCGGTTTCCTTTGTTTGGCTTTGGCCAGCGCATACACTCACGCACATAGCACATAGCCAGAGAAATTGGGGACGAAAGCCAACGGGGCGGATGCTGGCGAGGTCAGGAGCCAATACACAACACATACCGAGGTACATTTAAGTTATTACCATATATCAAGCGTCAATACAACGCCCGAACGAGTGTCAACAAAAACACTGATTCGAGCAGTGCGTCACAACAAGCACTTTGTTTTCGGGGTGTTGGCCGTAACCCTTTGGCCACTTTGTTGCCGCATAACGTGGCACTATTAGGGCCTCAAAATTATTTGGGCACTCACTCCATTAATCTGGCATGCATAATTCCTATAATGAGAGCTCCGAAATTGACTGAGGGCAACAAATGAAACTTTATTATTTGCATCAGCATTTCTAAATTATTTATAAAGTATACTAAAATTGTATATTATGTCCTTAATAGATGTTGCCACTTATAATTGTATTAGGTTGCAAACAAATAAATTGGAGCCTTCTAGAGGTAAGGAATGTTTATCTGCCAGCGCTGATATTATTGACCATTTACTTGAAACTTAATTTCTAAATAACTTCTAAAATAAATGTTCAACAAGAATATGTTTCTACTATGCCTGCACAGAATATGTGGGCGTTGGCTAAGGAGTGGCCAATTTTTCAAATAAACTTGCGCTCAAAATTATCACAATAATCAATGAACTCTTTGGCTCTTATACTCACCGTGATCTCAAGGAATTCGACACAGGCCTTACTCCACGGGCAACGGATATAAAAAAAATTGTATTTTTATTTTTTTGGACAAAAATAATAATTGTTTCTGTGCAGTTTAATAGATTTGATTCCATTGAACTCTAAAATATCAATGCTTGACACTGAAATTCCAATTTGGACACGTGTCAGGGTAAAACGTTTTTATGAAAGTATCGCAATGCTAATTGCACGTACGACTTTTGTCTCTTCGGGCCTTTCAGTAACTCGATGCGTTCACAATGTTTGTTCAGAGCCAAGGCGCCAATTTCCAGGGAACAGTTGTGGGCCAGAAACTGATTAATTGGCGTACACAGCTCGCTCTCACTGAGGGCTGGGAGAAGACCAACATTTAATTAATTGTGAATTATACGGGGTAAAGAGGCTCACCCATGTTAACAAAGCAAAGTCGGGAGGGTTCCATGGAGGAGTACACGGGTGGTGCTGCAGTGACTACAAATATAGGGAGTTTGAGTGGAGGATCCTGGAAGTTAAGTGTCTCTATATAATAGCTGATTTGTATAAGTCCCAACTGATCTGCGTGGCTCATAATGGGAGCTGTCAGAGGCAGGCGAAGGTTACTTTTTAAGTCGGTGCACTCGGATAAAACTTGTATAACTTTTTTAGTCTTTGCATTAGGTTTCTGACATGTGTAACAGATTTTTTTACACAAACGGGTTAAGGGCTCCAAGGATCCATCCTTTGAATTAATTTCATAGCCAACATTTTGACCAGGAACAAAGTAACTTCGGGGCAGGGAAAGGCTAATATTAGACGTCTCCTTAAATTGTGGATTGAGATCACTAAATTCCAGATTCTTTCTTATCACCACTCGCTGCTGAAAGCATTTGTTATGTTTTCCCCTTCTTTCAAAGTCAACCCTTAGCATATATTCCACATTGCCGAAAGAAAGACTACAAGTAGTTGGCAAATTTTCAGGGAGCTGGAATCTAAAGTCACCGAATTGAAAAATACCAGGTTGTAGGCGTAGTCCGCTAGTCAGCTTCTTTGTTTGATTTATGTGAACTTCAATGCCCTGGTAATCCTCTTTGGCACACTCCAAGTTCCCGGTGCTATCATTATGTTCGATTTCCGGAGGACCACAATTTGGTTCTCGCCAGTGTACCGCTGAGACTCCATAGAGCGTTATACTTACGCCTGTCAAGGGGAAACAACAACAAGATCAGTACATTAGATTGCCCACCTATGTGCACAACTCTCTATCTAATCACTAGACCAACTCATTTGCCTAATGGCATCTTTGACTCACCCTCAGATGCAAAATGTTTTTTGCCGTGAACTGTCACAGTGAGTGAACCCGAGACTTGCTCGCCAGTGTAATAAATGGCAGCAGCACGCGATAAATTAAATTCACAATTTATTGGCATTTCACTGGCATTATATTTGTGAGACTCCCAATAATTCGTATTCACTCGACTGGGACTCCAGTTACGACCTCGTCGACAGACGGCGAACCAGCGACTGTGACAACTTCAAGTTTTGCCGAAGCTGATGGAAGTCTAGAAATCTGTTTCCACACGAGTCGGTTTTACTACTAATTTGGCCCGAAGTCTGTTTTGGCTGTGGCGACATAAATATATAAATTCAGTTTATAGCCAGGCTTAGTCTGCTGAGACTTGTTACTGATTGTACACTGTATCTGATCTGTTATCATAACATGCACCCATTCGCCACTTAAAGCAGTTCATCTAAACATTCTGGGATATACATAATATATTTTGCTTGTTTAGCTTTATTAAATCGGATTGAATCGAATTGAAGACAGTAAAGACTTAGTAATAGACTTATGTGATTGCTGATTAGACTGGCTTTAAAATCAGAGGAAGTACAAAGTATTTAGTAAGAGGGTTTACACAATCAAAGGCAAACGCTTGTATGTAAACTAGAGCAAAAGACACCTTTTATAGTTACAAAATATATCTATTAGACACCCAATGGTTAAGTTGTTCTGATGACTTGTTCCAACTACAATTTATACTTTTGTGTGAAGTGTCGTGTAAAATAATATAAGCTAAGTTCAATTTGGCTAATCTTTGCTTGTAAATTTCTCATAGATACTTAATAAATACAATATTCAATATTGAAAATGAGTTTTGAGTCTCCTTTAGATAAAATTGTGCAGATTTTGTTCGGGTTTATCTAATCTTAGGGCTAAAGGATTTCATTTAACTTTTCACTACGTTTCTTGTGTATATGTTGCCAGTGATCACTGTGGTACGGCCCTATATTTGTTTACATTTTGTATTATTTTTCAAAAATATAAAAGATAGTTCAAGGTTAATATTGAAATAAGACACAGAAAAGGGAAGAGTTAAGATTAAGAAGAGGGTTAATAGAATATATGCAGGATAAAAAAATGAAATCTTTTTCGAGCAAACTAAATACATTTTAAAATAAGTACATATTATTCTGCAAAATATATACCATTCTGTTTGGCTTTGTAAAAATGTGTTTGTTTTGCTATATCCAATTTTCATTTACGGCTCAGACTTAATAACTACTATACTATTACATTAGCGTTTGAATTATTTTGTTTATAATATTTTGATTTCGAGTAAATATGTCAGTGTTTTTGCAGTTTACTTATTGGTTAACATTTGATGCAGCTTTTCCCAAATCGTTTGATCCCAGGCCGTCTCATTTCTTCTCGCAGGCGAAAGACTCTCCTGCAGGCGCGTTCGTGGTCACCTCCTCATCCACTTCCGCTTCCGCTGGCGCCGAGTCCTGACAGCTGAGTGCGAGTCGCAATTGGAAACTGGACTCATCGTAAAGCGTCTCTGGGGTTTTCGAGTTTCGTGGGAAGAGGGTGGTAGGGGTCGTGAATGGACGGTATAAAATGTTGCATGTTTCGGGGCGGTAACAAGAGAACAAATTTAGAAGTTAAGCACATTTTGAAAATTTCTCTGCTCGGCTTATATTTCATTAACAGAGAAATGCATAGTAAGAAAAGTAGAAAAAGGCAAGATAATACTTTAAAAGTGTTTAAATACTTTTCTTAAACAGTAATTGGTTAATGTATATTCGGCTTAAACTTTTAAATACGCTCTAATAAATCATCTTAAATTTGTTCAATAAAATTTAAAATTGATAATTGTAGTTGATACAGACATATACATATATTTTATATTCATTTTTATTAAGATAAAATGTTGATAATAATAATGAAAATATATTTGTAATGGAAGGTAATGGAATAAGTTGACTATTAAGAATAATTAATTAATTCTTAATAAATAAATTTAGTGAAAAACTCTGGTTAGCTCTATTAAACATCTAAATATAATTAAACGTGCAAATATTTTTGTTACACAATTTTATATAATAGGAATAAAATTTAATTTCATTAAGTAAGTGATGAGATTTAATTGGAAGAAGATATTGAGCTGAACAGACGCACAGTAAAAACGGAATATTGATGATTAAAAATTCGGATGACCCCAGCAAACTTTTATAGGAAAGTAAATGATCCCCTGAACATTAAAGCGGACCATCTTGGATGAATGTTGTTTTTCCATATTCAATCTCAACACTTTAACAAAATACAAGGCATCTACGAAAAATGCTTTAACTACTAGTAAGTAAAGGAATAAAAGAATAATTTTTAAAAAAAGCCACTCAGCCATTCAAATATTGGTTCATTTTTGGTTTTTTTTTTTGTAACAATTTTTGACATTTTTTGTATTGGAGGGGATTTTATGTGTCGGATTCATTAGAATCATCACTACCGGGCGGTATGGTCGGTGTCTCATAATCGTAATAGACTGGATAACGCGGCTTAAAGGGCTCACTTGTGGTAACATCAGCCTGAGCGGACAAAATACTGCTCATGCTAACGTTGGTCAAGAACTCAGTATCATCGCTGAATTTCTCACTCAGAGCCATGGCATCTTCATACGAGGGCGGCACTGCAAACAGATGGAATTTTAATAATGTCAATTAGAGTTAAGGATAAATATTAAGTCTGTGATTTGTAATGCCATTGCAGATGTCTTTGTCTCGAGAATAGAAAATACAATGAATACAACATCCCTATGTCATATTGCCAAACCAAACTGGAGGGCAAGTAGCGCTTAACGACTATATTTCATGCAATTTTGTCTCTATGTTTTATACTTGTTTTTACTTTCACAAGTCAACATTTTCCGGGAAAAATGTTATTTGAGTGCCTAAAAAGGGGGCGGTTGAAATTCATTAAAGTTTTTATACTTTTTGTTTTCTTACATAGCTTTTCTTTAGCCTACGATCTTTTAGTATGATCATATCATTTAGTGCAAGCTCTTGAAGACAAAATTAATAATAAGTTTCTCTTCATTGAGGGAAAGGCAGTTGTTTTAAGCAAAATTACGCATTAACCTATAAAAACGTATAAAAAGTGGAGGTTATAGCTTTGGAAGTTCTACTGTATTTTTAAGCATGTATGTAGCTTTAAATAATTCAGAGTCCATCTGCAAGGGCTAATAGAAAGAGTGTTCGGGGTCATACTCATGGGAATATAGTCCGGGGGATTATCGCTATCGCTGGTCACCAATATCGCTGGCATGGCCGTGGGCCTGAGAGCGGCAGTTGTTGGCGTTGACGATGGCGTGGAGCTCGAGAGCGTGGGACTTGCATTTACTATCATATTCATATTGCTATTGGTCGGCAGTAGTCCACCCACAAAGCGTCCATGATTGTTGTTGTTGATACTGCTGATACGTCGCTGCTGAACTGAGGCACTTTCCCGATCCCGATCCCTAATCCGATCCTGATCTCTATCTCGATCCGGGTCCAGATCTCTATTAATATCGCGGTAACGATCCCTTTGGTTCTGCCGCTGTTGCGTGGACATTTGTAAATTTTGACTAACTACTTGGTGCTGTTGCTGCTGGCGATTGAACCGCAGCAGGGCCTCCGGACCATCCATGATCGGAATACTGCCGATGGTCAGCGGAATTTTCAGCTTCAGCTTCCAGTGGAACTCCGTGGGGTTCACGATGATCTTAATCGAATAGTTAACGCTAATGGGGCATGTGGGCTTCACCGAAGTGGGCGGTATCGAGGGCAGGTCCAGATAGCCCCGGTACACCTTCCGCGACCATCGCAAAACGTTTCCGAACTGCTTCCGGGCGATAAGGTGTTTGTCGTAGCGGTACTCGTGCTGCGGGTCGTGCGACTCGTAGCTCACCTCCTGCTTTAACTTGACTTCGCACTCGGTGATGTCAATCGAGGATTCGTTGTTGATGTACAGCACGAAGTGGATCTTCTGGCCGGGCGCATATCCGCAGTACGGCGTGGAGAACTTTACCGTCAGCGGACCCGTGGGACAGCAAAAGCTCCAGAAGCGCTTCCGATCGAGGATCTCCAGGGGCACCTACAAAAAAGAATGTTCTGGATGAAGCACGCTGTTCGAAAATTACACATTGTTCTTATAAAGAGTAAAAGGTTAAAATTAGATTATAACTTCGGCAAGCCGAAGATTAAATACCCTTGCTAATATATAGAAATAAAAAAAAGGGATATTTTCCCAGCTTTTAACAATTATTCCTATGGAAGCTATAAGATATAGACGTCCGATCAGCATGATCGGCCTTGATCAAGGTATGCGCAAATAAATAACTTGGAAAAATGTATATCAATAGCTTATACACTGCGCGAAATATCCTAAAAAACATCAAATTTGGACTGATTTCACCCAATTATTCCTATGGGAGCTATAAGTTATTGACGCCCGATCGGCTTTTTTACCCTGATCAAGGTATGCATACAAAAATACGATTTGGAAAGATTCATGTCAATAGCTTATATACTGCGCGAAATATCCTGAAAAACATAAAATTTTAACCGTTTTCACACTACTGTTTCTATAGGACAAATGTATCATACAACAATAAGATTTGGAAAGATGCATGTCAATAGCTTTTACACATTGCGATATATCTTCAATTCTTGCAAGGTATATCCGTTTGTTCCTATGGGAGGTATAGGATAAGACGCCCAATAGCTTTTCAAACTTGATCTGCGTACATATGTTTTAGGACGACTGTCAAAGTTTCAGATCGCTAGCTTGTAAACTGAACTCGCAAACCGTATTGAAACAGACGGACACGGCTATATCGACTCCCCTGTTGATCCTGATCAAGAATATATTCACTTTATGGGGTCGGAAACGCCTCCTTCACTGCGTTACAAACTTCTGACCAAAAATATAATACGCTCTGCAAGGGTATACAAAAATATTTACCGGTGTGCTACAGAAATCTTTTCAAAACCAGTTTCAACCGAAATGTATGCGCTTTCAGCTGGAAGAGGTTCTGCCTCCCTAGTAATATTATTTCAATAGTTTTTAAGATCAATAGTGATCAAACCGATGATGTCAAAGAGCGTTTTCTATAAATTGATAAATGATAAACCCTGTTTAACCTGAACATAACCTGAACATTTTGTATGCATTCAAGATTGTTGAAAATCTTTCTCGATTTAATACAGCTTTGTAAGTTAAGATTCATAACTTACCCTGTAAATAGCATCGGCGTTCAGGTCCAACGGTTGTATCACGGTAAATGGCAGCTTAAAGACCTTCGGGTAGCGACCGGCCCGCTCGATGGTCGTGATGATCTCGTAGTGAATCTGGCCGTACTTGCCGTCGAATGACGTGGGCAGATTGTCGGGCAGAACGACGTGGAACGTGTACGAGTACTCGCCGGCCGGCCAGTCGATGCTCGAGTTGTTCGCGCAGGATCCGAGGACGTAGGACCGCGAGGACAGGTACGATCGGTAAGCACGGCACATGGCTCGCTCGCTGTCGCGCGGATATCCCTTTTTTATCCAGCGTATCTTGGCATAGCCGCTGACGGTGACGTGGATGCCTGCAAGAGGATTTCCCCACCCCGCCCGATGTGACTTAGGATTGCCAAATTACTTTCATGAATACATTGAAATCATCAAATATTAATTAAATCAAAAATCTTAAAACTTAAGCAAGGAAAAAAAGTTTTTTTTCCCGATATTGGCAAAAATAAAAGAAATATTTTAATAAATGGAAAAATAATAATAATTTTTTTTCATAATCTTTTTTAATTTTTTAATTTAATTAGGACCGGAATTCCATAGTACTTAAATATTTCCAAATCCCAAAGGACAAAAACAAAATTAAAAACAACAAAGTTATACTTTTTAAAAGATCCAGCTCGTTCCGACTTACATATATACTACCTTCAGTAGAATGACAACTTTTGTGAAAGCTTCATGCAGGAAACTGAGGGACTAGTTTGCGTTGAATCGGACGGACGGACAGATTGACAGACGGACATGGCTAGATCGAGTCTCCTGGTGGTGCTGATCAAGAATTTATATAATTTATAGGGTCGGAAATGTCTCCTTTACTGCGTTGCAAACTTTTGACTGAAATTATAATACCCTCTGCAAGGGTATAAAAACGAGGAAAAAAAAACAGTATTACGCTTGTCGGCAGCTCTTTTTACAAAATGTACTTTTTTTCAGATTTGCTTGCTGATTTTGTAAAATTTTGTGGTATTTATATAGTTTTAAAGTTGATTTACTTTTTAAACGATTTAAATTTCAAAAGTGTGCAACGCAGTGAAGGAGACATCTCCGACCCTATAAAGTATATATATTCTTGATCAGGATCACCTCCTGAGTTGATATAGCCATGCCCGTCTGTCCGTCTGTCCGTCCGTCCGTCTGTCCGTCTGTCCGTCTGTCCGTCCGTCCGTCTGTCCGTCTGTCTGTTTCTACACAAACTAGTCTCTCAGTTTTAAAGATATCGAATTGAAACTTTGCACACACCCTTCTTTCCTTTGCACGCAGTATATAAGTCGGAACGGGATCGGCCGGGATCGGCCGACTATATCCTATAGCTGCCATATAACTGATTGATCGGAAATGCCATAACTTTGGTGTTTGAAAAGTTAGAAAGTTGGGATTTTCTATAGGTTTTACTTTTGGGCAATCAATCCGACTTACCAAATTTCATAAGGATCGGACGACTATATCCTATAGCTTTCATATAACTGAACGATCGGAAATGCCATAACTTTGGTGTTTGTAAAGTTAGGAAGTTAAGATTATCTATGGGTTTTATTTTTGGACAATCAATCTGACCTACCGAATTTCATGAGAATCGGCCGACTATATCCTATACCTGTCATATAACTGAACGATCGGAAATGCCATAACTTTGGTATTTTTAAAGTTAGGAAGTTGGGATTTTTTATGAGTATTAAGAATGCATCATATGAATAATTTTGAAGAATATAATTTACAGAGTATTCTGCAAGCGTATATCAACTTCGGCTCCGCCCGAAGTTAGCTTTCCTTTCTTGTTTTATGTAAGAGAGGTCAAAAAAATTATATAAAAACGTGACCTTTTGTTCAAACACCTTTAAAACATTACATTTTCACCTATTTCGGTCAGAGTTTGGTTCATATTCTTAGAAAATATGTTACAATCAAAACTGCGACCTCCAGGTTGCCCACAAGGGGTCAACTCTGATGGCGATCGTCAATGGACACCAAGGTCTGACTTCCCCAATGCCGGCGGAAATGACTTACCAAAATTTGAAGGTATAGTTTAAAATAGAAATAAATTACCCTCCAAGTTTAAACAAATTTGAATTATTATTCACTCAGAAAAAAAATTTAAAAAAAAACGAACTTCGGCCTCCTTAACTGGTTTACCTCTGCAAAGCAACTATTTTCCAAGTGTAATTTGCTTTTACACAAAAGAATAACAAATACCTAAATACGAGTTCATGGATAAATGAAAATGGCGGCATGCCAAAAGGAGCACAAGAGCTGCAGAATGTTCCACTGTGACAGCTACAACCACCATAAACATTAGGGCGGGGGCAGGAGCCACGATTAATAGCACGTCATGTTCAAAACGGCGTCCGGGGGGAAATACATTTTAATATTGCCATTAGCCGATGTTCTTCGTGCATTTAAATGCACCGAATCGCCGCACCGAAAAGCCAAGTGACCGCATCACCCATACGCCCCGTGACTCATGGGCGGCATTTTCGTAGTATACAGTTGGGCTCACCTTTAATGCGTTTGGTGGCGTCGACGCTGAGATCAACAACTCCGGATAGCTCCTGTCCGGCATAGTAGACACCTTGTGGATTATTATCAAATGATATAAGGCACTCAATGGGCATATATTGCTATATAGTTGTCGTGTGTGCTTGTGTGTGTTCCGCTGGATATCCCCTGTCTGTCTGTGTGAGTGTGGCTGTGTGTGTCTGTATGGGTAACTTTGTGCTGTGCAAAAGCAGGCCACAGTTGTAAAAATATCACTTTTTCCTTGTCGGTTGAAGAGTATGAATCGAAGAATTTGGGAAATGGGCTGGTCCTGGTTCGTTCATTTGATATTCGCTATCAAGCCATTTGCACTTCGCCTTTGTCGCCGTTGTGACACTTGCACTGCATTTTCTTAACACCCCGCGGCCTACACACATGCACACGGAAAACTTGTGAACGCTTTCCCGGAGCCTCCGACCATCCGACCTCAGGATTCTTTCCGCCGTAACCTACTTTTATTCGCACGCACTCAAACGACGGGGCAATCACTTGACGCGTCTATGGAAATGTCGGGAACAGTCGCAACATTAACAAGGGCGAGGAATGTCAATTTATATTGGTGAGGCCCCCTTGCTTGTCTGTCTGTCTCTTGTCCTTCTATCCCTAAGTTTTCTGGCTTGAGCTCCGTTCTCTTGGCGTTTATGTTCGATTCAAGTCACACGCAGCTCGCAGCTCACAGCAAACACGTCCAGCAGCCGTTCGTGTTGGATTTGCTCTATCCGCATGCCATCATCGTCGCAAGCGTCCAAGCCCCCAGCCGAGGGTAGGACATACGTACTCGGCCCGCTCGTGCGAAGCCGAAAGGACTCGCCGCTCTGAAAACAACAACCCCCAGAGAGTGGGAGAGAGAATGCCCCGAGCTGAAAGCCACGCACACGTGCTGGTGATATTTGTTTTTTGTACATATTTTGCGCATTTGCCCTGGTCCTTTTAAAATGTTAACCGGGATGTTTTACATTGCGTAAATTTTATTTGTTGTTAAGTTTGCAATTGTTTACTGTAACATATTTGGACATATATTAGCTCAGTAACACATTTGTTCATAACTTTTAGCCTAAAAAAAATGTAAGTTAACTTTACAAAATACCAGCTAAAACATTTTTTCCAGTTCTTTGCCATAGAAAATTAGACTTTCTAGACTTCTTTAATGCCTTTTGTTCATAAACATTTAAAATATTAGTACACAAAACGAAAATAAAAAATTTTAAATGGCGGCTTTAGCTCTTCTTCATAAAAACCTCCTTCGAAGTGGTTACAGCGTACCTATAAGGCCCAAAAATGTAATAAGATTCTTAAAATATTAGTACTTAAATTAAAGTCCGAGTCAAACTGAAACATAAATAATTTTGGCTGAAATTCATTAATGATCTAACGATCATTTAAAAACGAGCGCTTCATTAATTTGGCCTAGCCTTAATCGATGTTAACATCGATACTATCGATACTTTTGGTTTTCGGAAAACATCGCCTGGTTTTAAAAGAATTTTCAGGAAGTTTCAGAAAAGTTTAATTATGGCAAACTTTAAAGCTTGTCAAAAAAAAGGGTAATTTAATTTAAAATGTTTGTATTTTATTATATAAATAATAATGTGTTGATGGATCGAGAGAAATCAATTATACAAATTTTTAGAAGTTAATGAATATGTGCATATTTTGTTTTATGTTTTATTATTATTGTTTATATTATGACAATTATGATTAGAAAACCACAAGAAATGAAATAACTAGGACTGTTTATTTGAAAAAACCCTAGTGTTCTACTGAATTGGCTTTCAATTGCTTATTTATTTTCCACACATATACTTAGTATTGATTTTGCTGAGGAAAGTAAGGAATTTTTGTTGTCCGTTTAAATTTATACCTTGAGGTAAATCTCTCTATTTGCTGAAAAAATGAAGTTATATCGTTCTTCCCATTATTTTCCTTTGAATTTTCGAATATTTTCTATGGAAATATTTTCAAAAAATTTAAATTTTATTTCTGAAATTGTGAGCAATTACTAAATTTTGGAATATATCATACATCCATAAAAACAACGTTGATATAACATAAATTGAATTGTTAATTTTAGTCCAGATTATTTGAAACATATATGACTGAAATTTAATAAGCTCAAGACTAGGCCCCAGTGTATGCCTTCAATAATTTATTTTAAAAATTTTATTTTGCGCGGGTTTGCTAACGTTTTGCCCGATAGGTGTATTCGATAGACGCACTAGTTATCACCCCTGGCATAATCATATCCAATTCTGCAGTGTGGCAACTTCATCTCAACCAGCTGTTTTTTGCATATTATTTTCGCCAAACCACTTTGCGATTAAGCGACGGGAGATAAAAAATTAACCAGCAGATAAGCTCAAAACTAACCTTGAATAAGTACGTGTTATTGTGGCCTGCGCTGGTTGAACTAATCAGTACATAAACCCCACAAAACAGTGAAGTTCCTGCAAACAATCCGCAAGATGAGCCAAGAAATCTCTGACGTCAAGCTTTCGGGTGGGTAACTTTAATATATTTTGCACTCGTTATAGTAAATCTAAATCCCATTTTAGCACTTCGTCTAAAGTACCATGAACGGAAGGAGGCTTTCCTGGAAGAGAATATCAATGTAAAAAACCCCTTTTGCGTGTTTCGCGATTGGCTGGAGTTGGCCCTGAAAACACCGGAGATTTTGGAGCCCAATGCCGCCGCTTTGGCCACCGTCAGTCCCGAAGGAAAACCATCGAATCGATTTGTCTTAGTGAAAGAAGCTACCGCTGAAGGTTTCACTTTTTTCACCAACTACAAAAGTCGCAAGGCCGATGAGATCAAGGCCAATCCCAATGTAGCCATATCTATCTACTGGCTTCCTTTGCGAAGGAGTGTCCGCATCGAGGGCGTGGCCGAGAAGATTCCGCTAGAGGATTCCCTTAAGTATTTTCACGAACGGCCCAGGGCCAGTCAAATTGGATCCGCTGCCAGTCCTCAAAGCCAGCGGATTCCGTCGCGAAACTACTTGGACCAGGTGGAGGCAGAAATCAAGGAGAGACTAGGTCCCGATGGAGAGGTTCCACTGCCCAGCTGGGGCGGTTACCTAGTGCGGCCCAACCTCATTGAATTCTGGCAGGGCCAGACCGATCGCCTTCACGATCGTATCCGCTTTAGACGAGGTGCTGGAGTGGAATCCGAGGTCGACGGGGAACTCGTCCACAAGGGAGAGGATGGTTGGGTCTACGAGAGATTGGCTCCCTAAGCATGAAAATCTGTCTTTCAGCAACATATGGATTCGCACTGTCTTCCAAATGTAATTGAAATGGACGAGAAGTTTTTCAAATGTTAAATACACAATATTGCTGATTATTCTTATGAGTTTTAATTAAGAAGTGTTATGCTCAAATCTGTGAATTCACTTTCATGCAGCTATCCCAGAACTTTATTTTATTTTTAACAATAAATTATATATCTATCTCAAGTTTAGCGATTTACCTTCGTTACCTTTCCACTTCCTACTCAAGATCGGTACATCAGGCAAGTCGATCCAGCCACGACCATCTATCCGTATCCCCGACTCAACTCAATGTATGAATCCGAAATCGTATACAACTGTAGTATTTATATGCTATAGAAACTATCAGAAAATCGAAATGACTTTAATGTTCTAATTACAATATTTCCATAGAGTATTTCAATAATGTTGCTTAATATTTTATTTCTTTGCTTGCTTTTAGTTTTCTTTGTTTCTATAATAGTTTAAGTTACGTATAATATGTTTTACTGATTAACTTTGCCATATGTAAGAGTGTTATAATAATCTTAATGTTATTTAGGTAGGATTGGATTTTTATAATCTTGATCTTATTAATTATATTGAATTTTCTCCTTCCGAGATTAACAATAATATAATACATATAAATATTATATTAATATTAACTTAACTAAAATTCATATTGACTGGCACAGAGTAAGTGCGCCCCAGTGATAGTTATCAGTATTTTTGATTGTGCGCGCTGTATAATGTCTATGTTGATTCCGCGTTCCCCCACAGCTGGTAGCCATATGTCCAAATGGGTTTAAGAATTGAGTTGTAAAGTTTATTTTTATATGCCAGTCAAATAGCCACCTCCCGACTACATCAAGATAATCAGCAAGTTGGCTTGTTGCTCGGATTGGTCATCTTGAGCGACTCAGCAGTATCGTCGGAAAACGTGGACGTTGTTAGTACCTTGTTCGTAGGGATATCCGCAGAATATGTATGTATATGACAAATAGAGTAGGCCCAAGTGCGCTTTCTTGTGGAACTCCAGCTTCAATAATTTATTCGTTCGATATTTCTGCTTTGCATCTCACTAAAAGTACTCTATTGTAGAAATACGAATCGAGGAGCTTTTGGGTGGAGATAGGCAAATGCATCTTGCTTTTATGTATGGGACCATCAAGGCAACTCGGTCGAAAGCTTGTGATGCATCGAAGAATGTAGCGCTATAAAATGCTCGATGCTCAAAAGCTGATTTTATTCTGTTAACTTGCTCGATGGTTTATTGGTTTCTTCGGAAGCCAAACTGATCTGCCGGGATGACATTGTGCGCTTCCAAATATGGAATTTAGACAAACAAGACAGTATTATTGGTCTGTGCGATGACGGAATTGTGTGGTCTTTTCCGGGCTTTGGTATCATTGCACTATGGGGCCAACGACCACTTTTGTTGGCCAAAATTATTAACTCGCTTGCTTAAAGCCTAGTATCCTGATCGACGAAAACCGTACGCCAGTCATGAGAGAGAGCGAGAGGCAAATATCTGGCGTTCACTTTTCGTCGGGCCTTTTTTTCACGTCGGTCCCCTGACGAACGAAAAAAATACCAGAAAATTCCATAGCGTTGCCAGTCTGCGGAAATGAGTTTTGGGTGAACCCTAGCGAAAAGATTAAAAAATTTAATCTTTTGGCGTGCGCTTCTCACTGAACATTATAAAGCCTAGTATCCAGATCGACAAACGATTACGCTAGCGTAAAAACTTTAATCTTTCCAGTGTGACCAAAAGTTTGAGAGTTCATCAGATTTAAGCCTGCTACGGTCGTACTGTCAATCAGCTGGGTTTGTTGACAAGCAGTTAAAATTCAAATATCGTATTTGCGGGAAAGAGCCTTTAAAAGATATTATCAAATACCTTGGCAAGACAAGTCTGCCGCTGTACAAAGAATTTAAAAAACAATACAATACAAATTTAACAGTTCTTTTTTTTTATTTACTGATAATTATTTGCTAATTTAAAGTTCATAACTGCACTTTTATTGTGTTTTTTCGTACATTCTGGACCTAAAAAACATTTTGCTCTGACAAGAGGCACCCCAGATAGTATTAATGTTATTTTGTCCTCTCATGTAAACACCTGCAATCGACTTTTGTGAGTTTTTTGAGTTTTTCCTTCCATTTCTTATAATGTTCAGTGAGAAGCCCACGCCAAAAGATTAAATTTTTTAATCTTTTCGCTAGGGTTCACCCAAAGTTTATTTCCGCAGACGTGGCAACGCTATGGAATTTTCTGGTATTTTTTTCGTCGATCAGGAGACCGACGTGAAAAAAAGGCCCGACGAAAAGTGAACGCCAGCTGTTTGCCTCTCGCTCTCTCTCATGACTGGCGTTCGGTTTACGTCGATGTGGATACTAGGCTTAAGAAATGTAGGGAAAAACTCAAAAAACTCACAAAAGTCGATTGCAGGTGTTTACATGTGAGGACAAAATAACATTAATACTATCTGTGGTGCCTCTTGTCAGAGCAAAATGTTTTTTAGGTCCAGAATGTACGAAAAAACACAATAAAAGTGCAGCTATGAACTTTAAATTAGCAAATAATTATCAGTAAATTAAAAAAAACAACTGTTAAATTTAAATTGTATTGTTTTTTAATTTCTTTGTACAGCTGCAGACTTGTCTTGCCAAGGTATTTGATAATATCTCTAAAGGCTCTTTCCCGCAAATACGATATTTGAATTTTAACTGCTTGTCAACAAACCCAGCTGATTGACAGTACGACCGTAGCACGCTTAAATCTGATGAACTCTCAAACTTTTGGTCATACTGGAAAGATTAAAGTTTTTACGCTAGCGTAATCGTTTGTCGATCTGGATACTAGGCTTTAATTTCAAAGATATCGAGATAAAACTTGACCAATCGTTTTTTGGTATTCTTAGGCAACATATATGTTAAAACAATAGAATCGAACGAATATATCCCATAGCTGCATTACGATCGATTTATTCAACTTTGTTGTTTTTTAAGATAATCGAATAATATTTTTTTTTATTATATACTTTATAATTACATTTATATTATATTTTTTTATATTTTTTATATCTGCCTTTGAATAGAATTAAAAATGGGAAACAAAATGTTCTTCGTTCCACAAAGGTGCAATGTAAATGCACAAAAATCGGATTAAACAAGTTGTATAGATAAGTATATAAAAGGCACCTGCTATTAAAACTCATGCTCTTCGAATTTAAGTCCAATATTGCATGGAAAATAGAAAAGATTCTTATTTTCATCGAAACTACTGTGAAAGTTGCAAAATTTGAGGCTAAGTACTTAAAAATTAAATTACGGAAAAAGTGGCAATAAGTGGCGATTCTAACAATATACATTTTAACAAGAATTTAATAATCTACAAATCTTAATAAGTTTCAGAAGTGGACTCCGCTGCACTCACTTTGTTGCTCTACTTAAAAGTTAGTTTTCTAATTAAAAAACGAGGTTTAGTCAACTCTAACACTTCAGTACAAAAACAACATGATAGATTTCAACCGTTTAGACACATAAACACTTAGTATACACCACCATTCATCGAAATTATATCAGAAAATTTTTTTGGAACGCTTTTAAACTGTTTTTTTAAACAGTTATATAAACAGAATATATACATAAGTCGAAATTCAAACGCACGAGACTTGCGTCTTAAACATCTGATTTAACAGCAGTTATCTTAACAGAAGCGCCCTCTATCGGAAATCCTGAAACGTAACATTGCAGATTGGTCTTCTATTAATGTATCCTAAAACAACTTTTTTGGATTTTACGACTTTTCAAAAATAGGTTTTGGCCAACAAAAGTGGACGCTGGCCCCATAGTGCATTGTGATAGATTTTTTCCACTTATTTGGGAATTAGCCGATATTAATGATACCATTAAAGAGTTTACAAACGAGCACAATAGCACCGTTTGGAAGTTATCATTTATTAGTTATTACCATTTTTGAGGTTAATAAGTCACCACCCTGTTTTGGTTTTAGTCCCCTAATGACTTTTTTGATTTCGTTTGGCTGAAACGGAGTTGGGAAAGATGTTGGCTGGAAAACACTTTGAAGATCTGAAGCAAATTTTTGCTTTAAAGATGGTGATCTGCTGGTCTGCCATGCATGTTAAGAAGTATTATTAGCACAGGCGAGTGGTCGAAAGCACTTTGGCACATATTAGATTACAAAATCAAAAAGATCTGGGAGATTAAATATTTCCTTTAGTAACCGGAACAACAACGAAGTTACACAAAGTGTATATTAGTATTGCACATATTATATTGCTCCGCACGGCTCTCATTGAAGCTGGAACAATCAGTAATTCCAGACCATTAACCTTTGTCTCCCTAGACTCAGCATACAATGAGTTACCCCAAATCACTTGCTTCTAGGACCATCGAACCGCTAAAAACCAATGGCAAAGGACAAAACTGATCTGACACTGCGATGGCATCAAACTCAATCCTTCGCTGGTAAATTTTGGAAGAGTTGGGTAAATGAATACACATTTACACTAACTAGGGGCAGCAAATGGTTCGCAAAAATTTCCACCAATCGCCATTTGAGATGTGTTTGTCTTTATTAATGATCAACTACTACGAAATCTGAAGCCCACGCGACGAATAAGTAAGAGCTCCAATATGGACACACAAAGGATTGATAAATTGGTTACACCAACACCAACATTTGATATGGTAACGCCTTAGGTTATAAGAGATAAGCAGCAACTCAAAGTTTATAAAGCCTTTTTAATTTGATTATATTTGGAAATAAATAAAGCTGCTATATGAATTTGTCAACTTTTAACTTTTGCGTCTTTCATACCAATGTTTTTATTAATAGAGTGCTTTGTGAAACTCAATTCACCTTCATGCTTTGTAGTGTTCATAGGTAGTTTACAAGAAAAAGCCAACTGACAATATTGGCTTCACAACAGTTGTATTTTTGTTAGAAAGTACAGTTAACAAAAGTTGGAAGAGAGTTGTGGTTGGTAATGTGTGCTTCTAGAAGAGCTAGTATACCTAGGTTGTGGGGTTTAAAGAGAGTGTGTAATTCTTTGTAGGTATTTCTATAGCCATGTATGCCGTTAGCATTGTAGAACAAAAGTGGAAAAGCAGTAGGCCTTAAAATAAGTTACTTAATTAAAGAATAGTAATTAATTATCTGTTTTCTTGAGATCTATTTAGTATTTAAAATTAAATAAATGGTGTAGTCTGGTGAAAGTGACTTTCTTGCTAGATTTTAGTTTTACTTTTAAAGTCACCTTGTTTTAATGTTTGGATGGCAATCATTGGGGAATGTTAGACATTTTTGGAAAAAGAGCATTGGCTTAGTTGGTCGTTTCCTTCGTATTCGGAGTAAGCACAAAACTTTGGTTTGGTCCAATTTGGAAAGGTAAAAACTACTACACAATGGAAGAAATATGGTCAGAAAACTTAGGTTTTGGGTCCAGAAGTTCACGAAGATCATAAACATGCATGATTCTACTTAACCCTAATCCACTTACCTAATACGTGGTATATTGTGGGTTGGCCCGAAAAAATGTCACCACCATCATTTAAAAACATTTAGATCCGATTGGAAGTCAGAACTGCGAGAATTTTCGCTATGTCTGTTTCTACGCAAACTAGTCTCTCAGTTTTAAAGCTATCGAATTGAAACTTTGCACATCCTATAGCTGCCATATAACTGAACGATTGAAATGCAATAACTTTGGTGTTTTTAAAGTTAGGAAGTTGGGATTTGTTTGGGAATTTTGGTCAAAAGTGGGCAACGCAGTGAAGGAGACATCTCCGACCCTATAAAGTATATATATTCTTGATCAGGATCACCTCCTGAGTTGATATAGCCATGTCCGTCTGTCCGTCTGTCTGTTTTTACGCAAACTCTCTCAGTTTTAAAGATATCGAATTGAAACTTTGCACACACCCTTCTTTCCTTTGCACGCAGTATATAAGTCGGAACGGCCGGGATCGGCCGACTATATCCTATGGCTGCCATACAACTGATTGATCGGAAATGCCATAACTTTGGTGTTTGTAAAGTTAGGAAGTTAAGATTTTCTATGGGTTTTATTTTTGGCCAATCAATCTGACCTACCAAATTTCAGTAGGTTTAGGAAGTTGGGATTTTCTATGGGTTTTATTTTTGGCTAATTAATCCGACCCACCAAATTTCATAAGGATCGGCCGACTATATACTATAGCTGCCATATAACTGAACGATTGAAAATGCCACAACTTTGGTGTTTTTAAAGTTAGGAAGTTGGGATTTTTTATGAGTATTAAGAATGCATCATAGGAATAATTTTGGAGAATATAAATTATAGAGTATTCTGCAAGGGTATATCAACTTCGGCTCCGCCCGAAGTTAGCTTTCCTTTCTTGTTTTTTTATGTGCTTGTTCTTTTTTATAAAGGTGGTGTATAGTTGTTAACGACAAAACTGGCGAGGGTTTGCCTATGGAATTACTTATTGAAAATGGAGGTCGAGACATTTTGTTTCCTTTCTTGTTTTTGATCATTTTGTCAATTTGAAATACTTCAAAATATGTTCAATAAATTTCAAGGCACTTTAGTTATACGCCACATTTCAAATTACAATGACGTCCGTTTTGGTACAAAAGCTTTGGGGCACACTTTTGTGGACCGGGTCAATTAATCGCATTCGGCAGCACGTGAACCACTTTTCCCACAATATAGCTAGTGAGGAGCATCGCATCTACGATGAACCATACGTAATCTTTCAGAACTGGCTGGTGGCTGCCCAAAAACAGGCGCCTCAGGTGCGTCCGAGACTCGCCTGCATGGCCACTGTGGACAAAGCCGGCGAACCTGTGACCCGGCTGACCAGCATCGAGGAGGTCAGCGCGAGAGGGATCACGTTCTTCACAACGCTGGGCAGTCGGCAGGCGGGCGAGATTAGTGCCAATCCGCACGTGTCGCTGCACTTCAATTGGGCGCCACTCATGCGAAGTGTCCGGATAGCTGGATCCGCCCATCAGTTGACGGAGGAGCAGGCGCTGGACCAGTTCCGCAGATATCCCCGCCACGTCCAGATGTACATCACCCACGGACCACGATACGCGGCGGCCGACTGGCAATCTCGCTCAGGGGTCTTTGCGCGAATCCTACAGCGCCTGAATGTCTGGCTTGGCAAGACGCCGGAGGAGATTCCAATGCCGTCCAACTGGGGAGGCTACATCCTGACGCCCAGCATTTTCGAGTTCGGGATGCTTAGCGGGCAGAAGGCCGGCAGGACACGGGTGACTTTCCGCCGCTGCCTTGAAATGCCCAGGGTAAGTCCCAGAAGTCGCGATTTTGTAATAAAATCCATGACTTGTTAGTTTAGATAAAAATTGGGATTACAGAGACTTCGGTCTCTGAAAATGCATGTCATGGAAGTTCGACAGTATTTTTTAAATTATTCCAAAAAAAGGGAACAAGTTTATATATAAGAAGAAAGGAAAGCTAACTTCGGACGGAGCCGAAGTTGCAGAATATTCTGTAAATTATATTCCTCAAAATTATTCATTTGATGCATTCTTAATACTCAAAAAAAGTCCCAATTTCCTAATTTTAAAAACACCAAAGTTATGGCATTTCCAATTGTTCAGTTATATGGCAGCTATAAGAAATAGTCGGCCGATCATTATGAAATTTGGTATGTCGGATTAATTGGCCAAAAATAAAGCTCATAGAAAATCCCAACTTCCTAACTTTAAAAACACCAAAGTTATGGCTTTTCCGATCGTTCAGTTATATGGCAGCTATATGATATAGTCGCCCGATCCGACTTATATACTACCTGCAATAGAAAGACAACTTTTGGGAAAGTTTCAAGCAGATAGCTTTAAAACTGAGGGACTAGTTTGCGTAGAAACGGACGGACGGACAGACAGACGGACGGACAGACGGACGGACAGACGGACAGGCTAGATCGACTCTCTCTCTAGTCTCTCAGTTTTAAAGCTATCGAGTTCAAACTTTGCACACACCCTTCTTTCCTTTGCACGCAGTATATATGTCAGAACGGCCGGGATCGGCCGACTATATCCTATAGCTGCCATATAACTGATTGATCGGAAATGGCATAACTTTGGTGTTTGTAAAGTTAGGATGTTGGGATTTTCTATGGGTTTTATTTTTAGCCAATCAATCCGACCTATTAAATTTCATAAGGATCGGCCGACTATATCCTATAGCTGCCATATAACTGGATTGGAAATGCCATAACTTTGGTGTTTTTAAAGTTAGGAAGTTGGGATTTTTTATAAGTATTAAGAATGCATCATATGAATAATTTTGGAGAATATAATTTACAGAGTATTCTGCAAGGGCTCCGCCCGAAGTTAGCTTTCCTTTCTTGTTATTTTATAATTTTAGTTAATCTTCTAATTTTCTCTTTGTGTTTTTTGCCTATGTTTTCGTTATTGTTAAATTGTTGTCCTCTTAGACTTTGTGTGAATTAAATCCTGGGGTGAACTTGGTCTCCGAATTTCCTTTCTGAACATTGTGTAATTTGCCTTTGCACTTATTAGAAAAGACAGGAATCGGCATTGTATTCGGTTTGTATTCTCCTAATATTTTGTTGTAGTACCCTTTTATTTTTAAAGGTATATTTCGCTTGGAACGCATTGATTTTCTTCAGGTAATAGTATCAATTGTTAAATAATACATCTGTGTACATTAAAAAATGTTCAGTCTATTCTTGCAAGCCTCGTTACTGAGTGGATAGAGTATTATACGTTTTAAATGTTATATAAATTTCTGTAATTTTGATGTTTAGAGTTCTGATTCGTATTGTTTGCAGAAATCTTTAAACAAGTTTAATAAAACTGTACTCATAAGTCGCACGTTATTTTATTCAGATGCCATTAAACTTTACATTGATCAGGCCACATTTATTCTACTCCGAGCTGGAAGTGTATATCCCTAACTCGTCTATAATAGTAAATATGCTTTTATTATTTTTTTAATTTAGGTATATGTGTTCATCGCCCGGTTTCTCTGCAATACTATTATTCCTGCGGGTTCCTATCAATTCTTATCGAAACTATTATTCTATTCCCCTATGGCTGCCAATTCTTGATTATTATACCCGTTACTCGTAGAGTAAAAGGGTATATTGTATTCGTGCAAAAGTATGTAACAGGTAGAAGGAAGCGTTTCCGACCCTATAAAGTATATATATTCTTGTTCAGGATCACTAGCCGAGTCGATCTAGCCATGTCCGTCTGTCCGTCTGTCTGTCCGTCTGTCTGTCCGTCCGTATGAACGCTGAGATCTCGGAAACTATAAAAGCTAGAAGATTGGCATTTTGCATGTAGATTTTAGGAGTTCCTACGCAGCGCAAGTTTGTTTCAAAATGGTGCCACGCCCCCTCTGACGCCCACAAGCCACAAGCTGTGGCCACAGTTTTGATGATATTATGAAAATTTTAATTGATATGTATTTGTTTCGTCAATAAATATCGATTGGCCTAATAAAAGTTTGCCACGCCCACTCTAACGCCCAAAAACCTATTAAACGCTTAAGCCTGGCTAGCGCCTACATTTCCGCCTTTCATGACGCCATCTAACGGATGACTTTCTAACAGCTGGCCAAGGTGCTCAACAGAGTCAACGTTAATTCTCGATAAGGATTTCTACTAAAGGAAATTGTGATGGTTATACCCGTTACTCGTAGAGTAAAAGAGTATATTGTATTCGTGCAAAAGTATGTAACAGCTCGACGGAAGCGATTCCGACCCTATAAAGTATATATATTCTTGATCAGGGTCACTAGCCGAGTCGATATAGCCATATCCGTCTGTCCGTCTGTCTGTCCGTCCGTATGAACGCTGAGATCTCGGAAACTATAAAAGCTAGAAGATTGGCATTTTGCATGCAGATTCTAGGAGTTCCTACGCAGCGCAAGTTTGTTTCAAAAAGGTGCCACGCCCCCTTTAACGCCCACAATCGCTAATAAACGATTTTAAAAATTTAAATATTTCGGAAAAGTAAAAATGCAGTTTTATTGTGTTAAATGTAGAAGAAATTTTTCAAATCGGACCATTCGTTAAAACGTTCTCCCTCGCACTCCCTTTACCTGAGTAACGGGTATCTGATAGTCGGGGCACCCGACTATAACGTTCTCTCTTGTTTTCATTTGTCAATACCGAACTATATCCCAAGAACTATGCAAATCAAATCTAGTTAGCCAAATTGGAGGTCTGAGTCAAACAATGGCGTATGTGTGTATGTATGTAAGCATATACATATGTATGTATTTACATTGTACACAGTTGTACACAGTTAGACTTTAATATATATATTACTATTTAAGAATGTATGTGTTTAGCCAATATATGTATGTATGTTTAATATTTCTAAACAATTTATTGCACTCAAAAACATAAATATAAACACAGCTGCTGGTGCAGGACAAAAGCTGCCTGCGCTAAAGCAGCGCTGGTGCTGATGCTCGTGCTGTAAAGCTGCCAGCACTAAGAGATCGCCGAATTCAAATTGATAATTTGAACTTTTTGTCCTTTTTTCCTGTGGTCACTATAATTCACATTATGTTAAAAAAACAAAAAAAAACACAAGAAGGCATATTTATATTAAGTTGTTTAGCTGAGTAACGGGTATCTAATAGTCGAGGCACTCGACTATAGCGTTCTCTTGTTTTCAATAGCTTCCTCCTGCTGGTCTTTTCTGTAATTTCTGGTAATATGATTATGCATCTCACTGCTTTGTTTATCCGACAATACGCAGAATATTTACAATACCAGTTCCTCAGAAATAGAGATCGCTTCCGCTTTATAATTTCCTTTAGCTTACATCCCTGTTATTACACTTTTTTCCTATTCCATGTGACTCAGATCTTGTTCCAGAACGGCACTACTTTTGTAGCTCCTGCCGTTCTCTACAACTATTTGAATGTTATATTCATTTATCATCATGGTTTCTTTATTTGATGCAATTTCTGACCACGTTAAGGGTAGATGGTTTGTAAATATATATCATAGTTTTGAACGGACAGATACCTCTATATCATGGCAGGCATTTCCTTTCCATGCCTGAATAGTACATTTCTTTACCAGTACTGTATTTCTGCCTTCAAGCTGTTTGTTGTTTTAGCAGCAAATTCATTTAAAAATATCTTTTATAACAAAATAGTCCTAGGAATGATGTTGGAAAATTTCTAATAATTCGGTTACATGTCTGAAATACTCAACTTCTCTTCTTCATTGCGTTATATCAAGGGTCTATCGACTTGGTGAACACCGTGGGTAATAGTTCATGCGCTCTTGTAAGGACGATTAAAATATGATATCATACACAAATAAAAGACGGCACTTTTCCAGCAAATATCCAAAGATATTATTCGTTAATCTTTAAAGAGTTAAGAAGCTTTGCTAAACGCGAAAGGCATTCTTACTTATTAAAACTGCAGGCCTCTACTGCTGTGGAGGAGGTACCTAACTTTTTTCGACTTCACCATTTTGCATTTTTCCTCCCGAATGGCATCCTATCTTTAGGTGTCAACCATGGAGTGCACCGGTAACTAGATGCCGAATGCTTATATCAACTCAGGATGCGATCCTGATCAAGAATATATATACTTTATAGGGTCGGAGATGTCTCCTTCACTGCGTTGCACACTTTTGACCAAAATATAAAAATAAATGACTATACATATTTTTCAGGGGTCAAGAGCTGGTTCCGTTCAAGCTGAGAGGCAGGATTGGATCTATGATTCGTGTGAGGAAAATTAATAAGAAATTTCCTCAAGATCTTATTCGGCTTTAATTCTCTCTTGTCATCATAACCTTAAAATCCGATTATTTTTTTCCCGGCCATCCTTCTAAGCGTGAGCTAAATTTTAAGTCAACTAAATTACATTTTTATATAAATATTGTTAAAAAAAACTTAACTTCTGTAAATCTGCGAAAAATAAAGATATCTATCAAATTAAAAATGGCGTTTCAAATGAAATCAAATGGTTGATCCTTAAGGAGCTAGCACAAATATGGGAGTGGAATAGAACAAATACATATGTTCCTAAAATCACAATATTAAATACAAATAAAGAAAGCTTCGGTTTGATAAATACTCTATAAAACGACTCTAAATACATTTTTTCAATCGTTTTTATTTTCCCATTCATTTTTGGATCTCTGCGATGGTAGATATACGATATATAGTAGTCGACGTTTTTTAAATTAAGAACTTGTTCAAATTGTTAAAAATGACTACATCTTGGAGTAAATACGAATAAGATTAAACAAAAAGAACGTTTCTTTTTCAATTATGTTTCCGATGGTTTGTATGAAAGTTATATGTATAGTCGGACAAACTGATTTATATAATACAAGCATAAAAAAACGACTTTTGGAAATGTATTATTTAATTAGCTTTAAATCTAAAAGAGTAATTTGCGCAGGAACGCTAATGTTTGAATATGTTTAAGTCACACTGCTTAATTTGTTCAAGTCTTCTTAAGAACTGGCAGGTAAGTTAATCAGTATAATGATTTTGTAATAGCAAAACATCGTGGGCTACATCCTGATCTCGGCTTTCAATCCGAAAATTGTAATGCATCAATATCAGTTATCCCCATCATCATATTACGTGAACCGAGAAAAAGTTTTGGGTGAAAGGGAAGATTTCAAAGTTGCTCCCAAGATTACTAAATGAATATTCTTACTATAGAAGTTTTTGACTGAGTATTTGTCGCGCAGAGGAAAAATTCATATTTAAGTACCAGTGCTAGTTATATAATTGCATTAATTTTTATACACTTGCAAAGGGTATTATAATTTTGGTCAGAAGTTTGTAACGCAGTGAAGGAGACGTTTCCGACCCCATAAGGTATATATATTCTTGATCAGGATCAATAGGGGAGTCGATATAGCCATGTCCGTCTGTCCGTCTGTCCGTCTGTCCGTCTGTCCGTTTGTCCGTCTGTTTCAATACCGTTTGCGAGCTCAGTTTAAAAGCTAGCGATCTGAAACTTTCACACTCGTCCTAAAACATGTGTACGCAGATCAAGTTTGAAAACCGCCCCGATCGGATGTCTATATCCTATAGCTCCCATAGGAACAATCGGATATGACTTGCAAGAATGGAATATATTTCGCGCAGTGTAAAAGCTATTGACATAAACCTTTCCAAATCGTATTTTTTTATGCATACCTTGATTAGGGTAAAAGTGCGTGACGATCGGACGTCTATATCCTATAGCTCCCATAGGAACAATATACCTTATTCCTTTCGCTACTTTTTCATTTTTGCAATTTCGGCAAAGTCTGCAGGGGTATTAAAACTTCGGCTTGCCGAAGTTAGCTTCCGTCCTCGTCTTAAGTAAAATAGTTACGGAATTTAAGCTAAAAGTTAGTTTTTAATGCCCCCTCCTCGCGATTTCTTCAACTCAGGACGCGAACCTGATAAAGAATATATATACTTTATAGGGTCGGAGATGTCTCCTTCTCTGCGTTACAAACTTTTGACCAAAATTATAATACCCTCTGCAAGGGCATAAAAGAAATATCTTGATTTTGCTCGTTTGGCATCAAAAGAACATAGTAGTCTAATACATAGCTTTTAAACTGAGGGACTTCAGATAGCGGTTTTAGCAATAGAACCTAGCGGTGTTACTTCTTCACAAATGGTCGAGAGTTTTTATTTTATGAATCGCCCTAAATACACAGAAATTCGTTCCAAAACCACGGCGATTTACCTATAAACTAAAGAAAAGATGAGTCTAAACTAGAGAAAATTCCCCGAAAAAAAAAGAACAGTTCTGCTTTTTTCTAACGGCTGCCAATCCCCCTTGAATGCTTTTTTTTGATGTTTCTTATTTCTAGGCCAATGTTGCAGTACATTTTTTATGAGTGCATTAACATTATATTCCTTTACAAAATATCAAAAGGTATTAAGGGGATGGAAAAATAATCTATTTGCATCCGATTAAAAATCAACGGAGCTTAAGTCATTAACGTATTGTCGCCAAATTGGATTTAAGATAATTAGTCAGATTCAATTGCATTTAAAATGCTTTTACTGCAAGGTTTGCAATCCCTAATTGGAAGTGTGTGGGCACGTAAAAATTTAATAAAATAAATAGGCGAGTGCAGTCAAGCGCAAAGAGTAATGCCCGCCGGGAAATGTGGGATGGATGGACGGATATGATACAAGGATGTGGAGGGCAGAAGAGTGTAGGCTGAGCGGCACTGACAGCAGACAACAAATAGTGAAAGCCAAAGCGCAAGGCCGGAAAAGCACACACCCCCTAAACCACCTACACCGCCTACACCCACTACCTATGTACATTGCCAGCCCACTCTACAAATTTGACTTTGCACTTCTTTGTAATTGTAGCCATCGCTCTGGCAGCCGTTCGCTTCCTTCCTCTGTTCGTTTTTGGCTTTCCTGTTTACTTTGTCCTCGTCTGCGCTTTGTCTTATCCTTCCTCTCTCCGGCGTTTTGTTTTGCTCGGAATGTTTCGTCCTTTGCGAGCTCTCCTCTCACGGAGGGTGTGTGTTTAGCTGACTCTCTGTGCACCACTCTATGCGGCTCTCGCGGAAAATGTGGAGAGCAGGCAAACTTGTTGGCAAGGATAATGAATATTTCTTATTTTCTTTGCGTGCCATTCAATTGGAATAGGGATGTCACGGCCTTGCTAAATATGATATAATATAAATATATATTAATAAAAAATCTATTACAATAACTATTATTATTTACTCTATTATTGATAATAATAACAGATAGTTGTTTTTGATCTTTTCATTGCGTCTGGAATACCTATACAGTATCCAAATTTAATTGAATTTAATTCTAATGTTACATAATTTAAAAAATTGTATGACCAATTAAAAATAAAATATTTTATTTGTTATGTATCATTTTATGTTAACTATTAGGAAAATATAGAACCGTTTACTGTAGTTTCATTACCTGGCAACCCTGTTCGCCAGCCTCCCGTTCGCTTTGGGCCAGGCCCACTCCAGTCACGGCAACTCACAGCGAACACTCAGGGTTGCGGTCTCGTCCAGTTCGCCGCGCGGCTCCGGCAGTTTCAGTTCCGAACTAGCTTCGGCGGGGAACAGAAGGAGCAGAGCAGACCAGTGGAGCCCGACCAGAAAATAAAAGTAGACAAAAACTGAAACAATTACTCGAGGCGGCAAGCTAGTGTATAATTTTAACATACAGTTGTGGGGGAAGCGGAAGTAGAAAGTGGCGTTATAATTAAGGACAAAAAGGCAATTTTATTTATCGTTAGTGTAATCTTGAATGTGAATTTAAATGTGAATTGTGAGTTTTCGGTGTTCGGCAATTTTTGCTAGACAATTTGTTTCTCTATTTCCCATCGCAAATTAGTTAGTGTGGCTTTATAAAACATATACATACATATATAGTTAAATTGGAAGGTATATACATGTGTTTATGTGCAAGTATTTTTGCTAAATTTATTACATTGACATTGAATGTACACCTTTTAAAAACTCATGAATTTATTGTAATTTGAATAAAGGACTACTTTTGAACGACAAAGGACTAGAACGCGGAGCCCTTTTCCCCCAAGAGTGTGAGTGTGTGTGGCCCTTCGCCTTTGTTGTGTGTCCAACGGGGAGTTGGGGCAGCTTTTTACATAAGCAGGGCGAGCTGCAAATGGGACGCCCACCTGCGGCGGCTACTCATCGCTGGGAGCGCTCGCTTTGTTCACCGCTGAGTGGTGCGTGTCCTTGCAACGTGACAGCCCGATTGTGTGTAAGGATATGCAAAAAAGTCCCGCGGCAGCTGAAAGCAGACCCACATCCCGACAATGGCCCACTTAAAACTGGACACCCTCCACGTGCAGCGCAGTCCCCGCGGCTCCCGCAGGAGCAGTCCGAGCAGCGGAAGAAGCAGTGCCTGTAGTTCCGGGAGCTTTTCCCCGGTGCCCATCATCCCGATCATCGCCATTAGCCACGATGGCGACGAATCCGAGTCAGAGTCGGAGATCGAAACGGAGCCAGCGCGCCTTTTCCAGCGTCGCATGTCCACCAAGTGCACCAACAACCTGGTAAGCCCTAAATACTGGTCGTAGTGCACACCGATAGTGTTTGTTTCAATTTGTGGACATTTCCGCCGATCCAAAACCATAAAATTAAAATCATGAAAACGCACTATAGATCAAATTTAGCAAATGGTGTTTATTTTGACTTGACATTTTAGGTATTTTTCAGACCTGTTGTAATTTTTTTTAAATGGCTGTGTTTCATATTCAACCAAATATTTTAAAATTAAACGAGAACGGAAGCTAACTCCAACAACCAAAATTTTGAATACCCGGGATATAGTCAGCTTAAGGATCCGCAATGTTATAAAATCATAAATCAGCATGTATCGCAAACAAATGAGATTTAGGAATAATTTTTCGAAAACAACAAAATTTAGCTGATGTTACCCGAACGTTCCTATGACAGCTATGGAATAAAGTCGCTCGATCGGGAATCATTCTTAAAATGATAAGTGTAGGCATATGTTTATATGCACTTAATAGGATATTGTCATTCTTTTTTTTTTTTTATACTTTATTCTTATTTATTGGATCTTCTCTATTACTTAAGAGACTAACAATAAGTTTTCAAATCTTAATATATGTTACGTTAATTTATGTTATTGAAGAGGGATGGGAAATCATTCCGCTGTATACGGGAATGATAGCTCAGCCGGTTGAGTTGTCTGGCTAGCAGGTTTGGGTGATTTGATAATCTCGCTTCATATTTAATTTTTCTGGAAACAATTTCTTCTTTTACGGGATTTATATCCAGGTCTCTCTGGATGTTTGCGTTGCGGATGTACCAGGGGGCTCCAGTTATTGTTCGTGGGGTCTTTGATTGTACTCTTTGAATAATTTCTATATTGCTGCTGCTTGCGTTTCCCCAGAGCTCGGAACCGTAGGTCCAGATCGTCTTTAAGCACGAGTTATACAGTAGTACTTTATATTCATGAGCCATTCGTTTTTGGTAAAACTCAAGGTATCTGTCTAAAACATTATATTAGACAAAAACAGCGTGAAATAAAATTGGTTTTCCCAAATTTAGCAATTGTGATCTGGTCGTTCCTATGGCAGCTAGAAGATGTAGACGTTAAAGCAGCGTCGCTTTAAAACTTGATCTGAAGATTGCGAAAGTTTTAAGTATTGAGCTCTTAAACTGATCCCGCAAACGGTAAAGAAAGAGACAGCCACGGCTCGCCTAATGATCTTAAAATTTAAAAAATCTAATTATACCCTCTGTAAGGGTACAAAACGCTATGGCTTATATAGGCTAATATGTACGTTTACGCCAGTTTTCTTAAGGCACTAAAAATAACTAATAAAGATAATGTAAATAATCGATTAATGTCTACCTTACTCTTTTTGCGCCATAATTTAAATGTCTATTATTTTTCGTTTTACTTGGCAGAATTTTGCCTTTAACTACAGTTAGACAAAGCTGACTTCCGACAAGAGTCCGACTTATATACTACTGCAACTGAAAAATGCTTTTTGCAAAGTTTCATTTAAATAGCTGAGGGACTAGATTGCATCGAGACGGTCTGGCGGACAGACGGACATGATTATATCGACTGGCGTGATGATGCTAATCAAAACAAGAAAGGAAAGCTAACTTCGGGCGGAGCCGAAGTTGATATACCCTTGCAGAATACTCTGTAAATTATATTCTCCAAAATTATTCATATAATGCATTCTTAATACTCATAAAAAATCCCAACTTCCTAACTTTACAAACACGAAAGTTATGGCATTTCCGATCAATCAGTTATATGGCAGCTATAGGATATAGTCGGCCGATCCTTATGAAATTTGGTAGGTCAGATTGATTGGCCAAATATAAAACCCATAGAAAATCCCAACTTCCTAACTTTACAAACACGAAAGTTATGGCATTTCCGATCAATCAGTTATATGGCAGCTATAGGATATAGTCGGCCGATCCTTATGAAATTTGGTAGGTCGGATTTATTGGCCAAATATAAAACCCATAGAAAATCTCAACTTCCTAACTTTACAAACACGAAAGTTATGGCATTTCCGATTAATCAGTTATATGGCAGCTATAGGATATAGTCGGCCGATCCTTATGAAATTTGGTGAGTCGGATTGATTGGCCAAATATAAGACCCATAGAAAATCTCAACTTCCTAACTTTACAAACACGAAAGTTATGGCATTTCCGATCAATCAGTTATATGGCAGCTATAGGATATAGTCGGCCGATCCCGGCCGTTCCGACTTATATACTGCGTGCAAAGGAAAGAAGGGTGTGTGCAAAGTTTCAATTCGATAGCTTTAAAACTGAGAGACTAGTTTGCGTAGAAACAGACAGACGGACAGACGGACAGACGGACATGGCTATATCAACTCAGGAGGTGATCCTGATCAAGAATATATATACTTTATAGGGTCGGAGACGTCTCCTTCACTGCGTTGCACACTTTTGACCAAAATTATAATACCCTCTGCAAGGGTATAAATATATTTACTTTATAGGATCGGAAACGTGCCCTTCACTGCAAAACAAACAAACTTTTCACTTTAATTTAAATACTCGCAATTGTCAATTTTTGTTTGCCTTCAAAATGTTCCCAAATACATTCGCGACAAAAGAAAAAAAAATTGTTGAGTTTGTCTTGTTTGTTTACAGATGTGATCGTCTTAAACTAATTATACTAATTTCCTAATACATATATTTAACAAGAAAGGAAAGCTAACTTCGGGCGGAGCCGAAGTTGATATACCCTTGCAGAGTACTCTGTAAATTATATTCTCCAAAATTATTCATATGATGCATTCTTAATACTCATCAAAAATCCCAACTTCCTAACTTTAAAAACACCAAAGTTATGGCATTTCCAATCGTTCAGTTATATGGCAGCTATAGGATATAGTCGGCCGATCCTTATGAAATTTGATAGGTCGGATTGATTGGCTAAAAATAAAACCCATAGAAAATCCCAACTTCCTAACTTAAGAAACACCAAAGTTATGGCATTTCCGATCGTTCAGTTATATGGCAGCTATAAGATATAGTCGGCCGATTCTCATGAAATTCGGTAGGTCAGATTGATTGGCCAAAAATAAAACCTATAGAAAATCTCAACTTCCTAACTTTACAAACACCAAAGTTATGGCATTTCCGATCGTTCAGTTATATGACAGCTATAGGATATAGTCGTCCGATCCCGGCCGTTCCGACTTATATACTGCGTGCAAAGGAAAGAAGGGTGTGTGCAAAGTTTCAATTCGATATCTTTAAAACTGAGAGACTAGTTCGCGTAGAAACAGACAGACGGACAGACAGACGGACAGACAGACGGACAGACAGACGGACAGACGGACAGACGGACAGACGGACAGACGGACAGACGGACATGGCTATATCAACTCAGGAGGTGATCCTGATCAAGAATATATATACTTTATAGGGTCGGAGATGTCTCCTTCACTGCGTTGCACACTTTTGACCAAAATTATAATACCCTCTGCAAGGGTATAATAAATGTAAGAGTGCGTAGAGTTTGTTTGATACAAATGTCTATAGAAAACAATGAGTTATCTTTAATAAGCACCCATCGGATGCTCATTAAGTAAAATACGTAAGCTTAGGCTATTCAAATAGATTTCGGATAATACCCACATAAATTTGATTTGAGGCGGAAATACATAGCATAAAAGTTTCTAATTTTTCACCGTGTTCCAAGAGTCCTTCGGCTTTGTCACACGACTTACCGCTGCTGTGCAACGGTGCGTCCTCGCTTAAGTTTCTGGAGCGGAAGTTGCATGCAAACGGGCAAACTGTAGGGAAGAGGGGTATTCGTTTTGTATGCAAGTTGCGTGTGTCGAGAGTTTATGTTTCAAGTACTTTAGTGGGCTGCACCACCGGCAAAGGTCAGAGCCGCAGTCCAAGAAGCCGGTACAATATTTTAGCGTCGCTACTGCAAAGGTCAGGGGTCAAAGTGGCCCCCAATTGATGATTGCTCCGGCTTAGCTGGGCGCCCGTTTCAATCATCACTTAAGTGCATTATTAAAATGTAATCCGACGCTGCCCATGTAGCCCAATATTATATAAAATTGTTTGACTTGCGTACGCCGAAGAAAAATAAAGAAGGCCGAGCGGACCACTCATGAATTTTAATTAAACGTTGCCATAGTTGCCCTCCAGGTTTCGCCAATAAAAGAATCAAAATGATGGAGTAAGAAAAGAAAGGCAAGCCCCAAAAACTCTGCGAAGCCCAGGAAAATCTTCAATTAAGTTCCTTATGGCTTTGGTGTCACTTTGAAGCTTCCAAGGCTCCTCCCTCCACCTCTTTGCTGGTACACCGTGTCGTATGAATAATGTTTCCGGACTAAAGTTGAAGCTCTGGTTGGTGGCCATTTGATGTTAATTATTCGCGTCGTTGCACTGACCCTACCACCCAGTTTTGGCCTTTGGATCCTTTCGTATTTTTATCCAGCTGCTGATGACTCTGACCCTCTGCAAACATTTTGGAACTGGTTTCACCCTCGATTGTCCAACTGCAATTTGTGCTTTAAGCGAGGGCATTTGTTATTTGTGATTTATGGCATTCAAGGGCTGAGCAAAACACATTTGCCTGATTGTGACAGACAAGCAACATTCAAGTGCTCCCATGTGGAGAGGGGCGTGGCCCCATAAACACACATATGGGTCTGTAGGGCAGTGTGGGCTTTACACATGTCAAACCGCAAAACAATAAGCGAACGCTAAACAAAAGCAGCTAAGTGCACGGGCTTGATGGCAGTGTTTAGGTTAGCGTGCTGCCAACGCTGAAGGCGGCGACAATAAGACATTAGAATGAGTCTAAACAGTTGGAACACAGTGCGGGGCAGTGGCTTAGGAACAGGGACTTTTGTCAAAACTTTTAGAAACGGCTTAACAAAGTGGTCCTTAAATTTACCCTCAAATTACCTCAAAACGAGAACGGATGCACACTTCGGCAAATTATATGATATAAAACTATTATAATGGGCACAAACAGCGAGATAACTCTTTGAAAACAGCCACATTTTTCTCATTTTACCCCATGTTTTATGTTGATAGCTTTAATATTATTAAAGCCTCTAGATGGCTCCCTTCCCAGATTTTTGACAGCGGCTGTAGTCTTTCTCAGCCATTTAATTCCAACAATAAGTAAGCCAACAGTATAAACAAAACCAGAAGTCTTGCCAACTCTTGTTTTCTGTCTTATTCCTTGGAACAACTTCTGTGGGCTGTTGCCGCAACATCCTTGAGTCTGGCTCCTCTTTTTGCCACGTGCTTGTTGAAAAAAAGGTTGAATTATTTACGACTATTTACTCAGACAATTGGCCAACTGTTTGCGGCTCACGTGAGCGAATCAAATGAATTTGGTACTCTGAAGCTAATATCTTTAATTTAAAGATGTTTTTCTTGTTTTGCAAAGCTGAAAAGTCTGATCGGAATGAAAGCGAGTGAGGTATAGTCCCTGAACCTAATACTTGCCGGGGTCAAAGAAAGATAGGTAAAACAATGCATGAAAAGTCATGGATGGGTAATCTTATGCTATGCTACGTTGCCTGATTGAGTGAGCAATAACACCAACTAATAATCATACCTTTGGACCGGCCTTTTTATTTATCTTGTATCTTTTACATCAACAAGAAAAGAAGAGAGCGAGGTGAAAGGCAGGTGGCGTTAAATCAAAATCAATACCCGGCTAACGAAAATTTCAAACTTGCTTACCATCATCGCGCTGGCTGATGTTGCCTGGCTGGTGGACTGTGGCGTTGTTGGTTTTATCCTTGGCCACTGTGGCGTATACTCGATGTGTCAGCGATTGGCCTCATGCCCGTGCTACATGATTGATTGACGATGTTTTATCTTGGCATGATAGGCCGTAACTTTGATTTTTAGACACAGCTAGGCTTCAGTCCTGGTTGTGGGTCGATAATTATCCATTTTACTTAATTCTTATTTCCTTTCCGCGGCCAACAAGTTAATTGAATAAAGGTTTTTCTGTTCCCTTATTACTTAAAACTGTTAACTCTTACTTAAGGTCACGTAAATCCAATAAGCAAGCTTTCAGTTTTTTGGCACTCTGACACTTACTGCACAAACAGAAAGCAAATGTTTTTTCCGCAGCTCGATTAGTTTATTTTACCAGCGATTTTTTCATTATTATTTGAAACTGATTTTCCTTTTAGCCCCAGGCTAGAAAACTGACCCCGTCCCAAACTTAAACCGATTGCAACTGGGTGCACTTACCCAGCGACATTCGGATAGATTTCTATATTCCCGCTGCCAAGTCGCATAACTCGACCGAATCAAAAGGTTTATTTGTCGTATAATTGCCCCAGATTATTGTCACTTTCGTTGCCTTTCGTGCCACGCTTATTTACACTTTTATACTTCGCAAATAAGTGTGAATAGCGGCAAAAGCTGTGTGTGGTTGCTCTTTGTTTGCACAATTGATTGCTGGCCATATTGGCGCCCCCACTTAAGCCCCCTTTCGTCCCCTTTCGCCCACTTTCGCCCACCTTCGCCCACTTTCGCCCACCTTCGCCCACTTACCGTTGGCCTTTGTTAGCCTGCAGCCAATTATTTGTTGACATTCAGCCGAAGATTGCAAGTGACGGACCCCGCGGGGAGCATCGGAGTAGCTGACCGACGGGTCCTGCGTCCACTGCTCTGGACTAGTCCCATCTGTATCTGCTACATGCCGGGCTGCTCATTGTTATCAGCCTCGGCCCATTGACTCTGGGCCGTGCAGTGTCAGGTCATCAATTGCTAATTGCCCCGGGCGAGTTGCTGATGAAGTATGTTCGTAGCCAAGCTGAAATTGCACTCACTTTGTTCTGTACTCTTTCCAGGCTGCCGTCATAAAAGAGGGATTCCTCCTGAAGCACACTTGGTCCTTTCAGCGCTGGCGACGTCGATACTTTCGCCTAAAGAGGAACATGCTATTTTACGCCAAGGATGAGAAGGTACGTTTGATATTAATTAAATGTGAGTTCTACCAAAAAACAAATGCTAATGTCCCGGTAAGTAAATACATGGGAACTAACATGTTACTCACTAAGCCTTGGCATTATCCTTTCTGCCACTCGCTATTCTATTCGACTTCTCTCCATAAGTGATCGTCGACTACTTTTCCATGGCTTGTATATACATATGATCGTTTTTGTTGTACTATGATGTTATTAATGTGGTAAAGGACTGGTGATAATTGCGTTCCTACATTTATTAAATTACATTTTTAAATAATAACATTACTGTTCGGTAAATAAATAAAATTAATTTATTTACACTTTAAAGTCTCGTCTCTGTTTAGACATACACACTATAAAAAGATGAAAAATCAACAATTTAGTAATTAAATCTGCTCCAACCTATAAATTGTTTAAAGAAAAAAATTATTTGTATAAAAAATTAACTTAAGCTTATCCATTACTTATTTATATTTACTAAAAAAAAATAAAAGAAAATAAAAAATCTCTAAATCAACATTAAAATTCCTCAAATTTTTCGAGGAGAGACACATTTACCGATTGCCTATTAGGTAATAGAATGGTGGTAATTTACACTTTAGAATAGTACTTTTTAAAAAACAAAATATAGAAAAAATATTAGCAAACATTTTAATTGCTATAAATACTAGTCACCAACTAAAGTAACAAGTTTACTATGTTGATTTAACAAATGTTTATTTTCTGTCTAGACTAGGATTGAAATTGGTCCATTTTATGAGCCATTTTCAGCTGTAGATACGAGATCTTTTGTCAACTATTTTTCAGCTAACCCTTTTTATTTGTTTCTTGCGGACTGACGCAGGCCTTGTGTTCTGCACTCTCAAATTGCATTGCAGCAAATTGCAGGATATAATTACCAAATGAAATTACCGCCCAGTTGGAAGGCAAAACAATGTCGACAGGCAGGCTGGTGGAGGTTGTCGGAACAAAAGGTTAACATGGGGAAAACCCGGACAGGTGAGACAGACAATAAATTGGTTTATTGCGTGCAGTTCCCTTTTCATCAATAATGAACGCTTTTAAAATGCCCGCCTTCATGGGGTCACCTAATAGAATCTGTGTGTGGGTGGATTTTCTTTGGGAATATTGGGGCCAAAAGGTCGTGGGCTGATTGCAGTAGCTTTTAGTGACTCAATAATTCGAACCGCCTTGTCCCTGTCAATTTCGATTGCGGCGTGCCTGCCATTAACCATATTATCGAAGCTAATTGTCTGGTAAATCAATTGTTTATGGCTGGACTTTAGTTGAAGTTTCGGGCTTCAATTAGTGCCACTAGATGCTGAAGTCGTAAACTGATTACGCAACTAATTTCCGCTGAATTCCTTTCACTTTAATACCTAGTTCCAAGCTCTTGTGCAATTGCATCTCATCCTATTGCGATTGACGTCAATCCAGCTTCGAAACACGCTTCGAGCGTAAAATGCATTTATTTCGTAAGCTTTGAAGGCGTGAGCAGCCTCTTCAGCGCTCAGCCATGCCTTGTGAAAGAGCTAGGAAAACATTACGGATACGCCGTGTATTGCTTTCACGTTAGCACAAAGCGAAGCACTAGAGTGTCCAGTGACCTTGTTTGGAGCTCCGATGACGCGTTTACATTTTGCAACAAGAAGAAGTCGTTTCCAGAACGACAGGCAATTTTACTCCTCCGGGCTGTTGACATCAAGTATTCAGTAATGCTCTGACAGGTTGCCATAGACTCCTTCGCTGCCCAAATGATTAGCACCATTAGTGGCTGACACGCCAGGAAGGCAGGACAGGCGCGTTTATTTTGATTAAAAATTCTGTTTGATGCTCGATAAATAGACCTTAAGGTGCCGCTTTATTAAAAGGTTAATATCGCCGTAGTTCGCACTCCCTAGCTAGCCGAAAAGTGCTTGGGAACTCATTAAGCGTAGGCACGAAATTTCAATTATAATTACGCATACGCCCAAGTGACTTAAACGGTGAGCAATTTGTTGCCGTAGCAAACTCCAATAAAAAAGCACGATGGGAAGCTAAAACAGAAAAATAAAGACAAAGACAGAGGAAACTACGCGTGCCAGACAAATACGCGGCCATACCTAAGACGACCCTAAGTTGAGGCGCAAAAAGGATAAGCCTTTGGCGGGTTGCTAAAAACGGTAGGGCATTCTGAGGGACAAGGGAACAGTTAGCCAATGCTGATGCTCATGTTGATGATGGTTGTGCTGCTCGTAAAAGCGCAAATTTTTGTTTGCATTGTTTTCGGCGTAGCCTCCTACTTAGACCGCTCCTTCGGCCCTCAATTCTCTCTCTCGTCCTCGCTCTTTTTGCCCATAGTCGCGAAGCCCATTTCGGCTTATTATGTTGGGAAAACCACTTTGGGGCTAACCCACCACAGTTGTAAAATCGTAGTACTCGGCTTTTGGCCATGTGCGCGCTCCCACGCAAAAAGATGGGGATGCTGTGTTTCAGTGTGTGAGTTTTGTTTTGATACGTGAAAGCTTTGTTTGAAAGAGAGCGAAAAAGCTCCTGGTCTAGGGCTGGCACGTCCTGCAAAAGTTACGAGAATTAAACGTCAACTTTAAATCACAAACCAAAAAAAAAATAAATCCATCGAACCAACAATAAAAGTTTTTAAGTTTTCATTATATCGGGTTGTGAATGAGTAATGCCTCTTCCGGTTTTCACTTTTGAATGACGTAGAGCTAGTTTTACGTGATGTTTTCCTGGGTTCCAAACTGTCTGTTAAGTATTTTTTGGCTCGGTTACTTTTTTGACTCTTAGTCTATCAGATGATATAACCGAATTTCCCAAAAAAAATTTCAATTGCTGAAATACTGTTCCTAACTCAAAACGAAACACATGTTTATGAAATATATACGCTAATTTGTAAAATCAATTAAATTGCTATCAAAAACGCTATATCTTAACAATTTACCAAAACTGAAAATTATCCTGGCGCCACTTATAGTTTTTCTCAGTGTCAAAAAAGCTTTTGCAATAGAGTTCCCACCCCCTCAGAATCCCAGCGTACCTGTAAATATTTCTATCCTTTCGGGCGCATGGCAGGCAGATGAAGAGAAGCAGAAAAGCAGGCAGCCAGCATGTCTGTGTGTGGTGAGTTTCTGGAAGCGGCCAATAAAAGCGACTGTTTGGCAGGACCTCAGCTCAGTTTAAACTCAACGAAGCAGTGTGCCACAACTCAGCAACAGCGAAATCAAGAGCAACTACCAGTATCATCAACACCAGAAGAAGCGAGGAGAGAGCCTACCAGGCCGAATAATTAATTATTTAACCGCCAAGGATACTCATCATTAATACAGTTACATACCAAATAATTTGCGATTAGTGCTAACGAAAAAATTCATAGAAAAATAAACATTTATTTTGGTTTGACCCGCGAGGCAGAGGCGCTAAAAAGAGCTCCCTAAGCCATTGCCTCAGATTTTTTTCCGCGAGTTCGAAAGATGTGAGCCAAAGAGCCACAGTTTAACTTCGAGTCTTAAACTGAAAGAGCAACAGTTCCAAAAACTATAAAATAAACGCCTAAGTCACCGCTAAATCAATATTCAGTGTTCTTTTCGGGGTAAGTTCAGGCAGTTCTCAAGCCCAAGTACACTTCCATTTTATTCTCTTTTTAATACCGCTTTAGGGTATGATTTATGATTTGTTCGGGGCTTAACAAAGTTTCCGACGGCTTTATTTCGAATTAATCCTGGAACAAATACATTTGTTTGTGGAGATTTGTGAGACTGTCAAAACTTTTAATTGGCTAATTTAATTAATGCCCGTTAGTTGAGCTTCTTCAGATTGGGGCTCAAGACATTTATTTAAACTTTGCATATAAAGGGGTGCTCTGACTTCTACTAGCTCTAATTTGTATAAATCAACCCTCTGACTTCAACCAGTTAACACACACCCGATCAATTCAGCCAAGGGCTCTGACCTTTTGTCTGAGTCTGGTAATGTCTGGTTGCGAACAGCCAACTTCTCATTAAGCTCGTTCCCCTAATGGCAAGAAGTGCATTTTCGGCTAATTACTTAGGCACACAGCCATCGCCAAAGCCATCCCCGTTTGACAAGCATATGCGTATTAAATGGCAACAAGAGGCTGCCAAACAATCAGCCAAAGTGACATTCTACCGGGATAACTGTGCGCTTATTTATAAAGGGACAAGCGGTAGGAAAGGCGCAAATTAAATTAAAAGGGAACGGGGAATGTGTGTTATGGTGAAAACGATACAATAGTAAGCTCTGCCCGATAATGGACTTGGAGCAGGACAGTATGCTCTCCCGAGAACACTGTTCCGCTCGGTTCTGCACTCGGAAAATATTCCTTTTCTTTAGATTTATTATGCAATCGTGTTAATGTAGAGCTTAAAGTAATATACATAGACTCTAGGAAGTTAACAAGCTATTTGCACCAGTTCAAATTACCTTCAATGAATTTTAACAAATACATTTGGTAGTGGTTAAATTTGTAAGATTTAAGTCAGGAATAAAATAAGGCTCGGAAAAGGAATTAGCAACCGAACACATCGATTCAAAATCGCGAATTTTAAATCGTTTATCAGTTTTTAAAATTAAAACAAATTCTTCGTTTTCAACTTTTTGGCTGTGTTTGTTTAAAGTGTAAACAAATCACAAAATGTTGGACATAAATCATTATTACTTTATTGCGTTTAAATTTCTATTAAAATAGTTAAACTGAATATCAAATTTTTGGGGAAGTTTTATTTTTTTTAATTTGACAAAATAAAAACACGAGAGAACGCTATAGTCGAGTGCCTCGACTATTAGATACCCGTTACTCAGCTAAACAACTTAATATAAATATGCCTTCTTGTATGTTTTTCGCCGCTCGATTTAGCACCTTGGCCAGCTGTTCCAAAGTCATCCGTTAGATGGTGCTACCGTGGTACCACGGGCCATGAAAGGCGGAAATGTAGGCGCTAGCCAGGTTTAAGCGTTTAATGGCTTTTTGGGCGTTAGAT